GTACAAGATAGATTACCTGTGAATATTTATCCCCCAATTCATAGTTACCACCCAGGCGACCAAGTGTGGATTAAAGAGTGGAATAATGTGCCGTTAGGGCCCAAGTGGAGAGGTCCTTATGTTGTTCTTCTGTCTACCCCTACAGCGATAAAAGTAGCCGAAGTGGCTCCGTGGATACATCACTCCAGGGTTAAACCAGCAGCAGCCGATTCCTGGCAAGTTACAGCAAATCCAGAGAATCCCTGTAAGATCCGGTTAAAACGCACGACTCAGTCGGAGTGACGAGGAACCTTGTAGATTACAAATTTTATTGTTTCAGAGACTTGGTAAGTGAGTGAGAAGGCCATAATAAAGCCTGTCCACTCACCAACGAGTGTATAAGTCAGGGAAAGTCTTGAGGGGACCCCTGTGAAGACGAGCAGAACTCCATTCCCTGCAGTCCTTACATCCTGGAAGCTGAGGTGCCTTCACACGGACGAAGACTGAGGATGACGACGAAAGATGTATTTTTAATAATGTTTATTTATGTGTATTTTTATATTCAGGAAGGTAGAGGTACCAACACTCCTAGCTGTGAGGTATGCATTAAGACTACAAGAACAGGTAACCATATATCCCAGACCCTAATTTGGCATTCGCAATATGAGTGTAAAGGAGATGTATCAAGATGTAGATACTTAAATATAGAATATAGTGTGTGTCATTTAGGAGTAGGAGAACCTAAGTGCTTCAGTCCTGAGTATCAACCCCGTACAATTTGGTTGACTCTCAGAAATGGAGATTCTCAGGGGACCCTAATTAATAAGACGGTATTAAAATCCGTATATTCTTCAGGTGCTCTGCTATTTGATGCGTGTAAAGCAATATCAAGTGGTAGAAAGCCGTGGAATGTATGTGGGGATCTTAGATGGGAGAGGACGTATGGGTCTAACGATAAATATATTTGTCCCAGTAGTAAAAATAAATATGTAAGTCCAAGATGCCCAAATAGAGATTATAACTTCTGCCCATATTGGTCTTGTGTGGGGTGGGCGACTTGGGGACAGACAGCAGACAAGGACATGATTGTGACTAAGTTGCCTACTGATCCATATTGTAAGTCTATGGAATGCAATCCAATCCATATACTTATAAATAACCCTGACAAGTTCTTAGATAAATATGGTAATTTATTTGGGTTTCAAATATATGGGACGGGTTTAGACCCTGGGACAATATTGTTTATAGGGATAGAGACTGATACGGTAACCTCCCAAACTCATCAAGTATACTATTCCTTTTATGAAGAGATGAGCATAGATAATAAGATCCCCATAATGCTAAAAACTTGTTCATTGATTTAGCCGAGAGTATTGCCGGTAGTCTTAATGTTACCAACTGCTATGTGTGTGGAGGTACTAACATGGGAGACCAATGGCCTTGGGAAGCAAAGGAGGTAATGTCCGGTTCTGAGGCAGTTGACCAATTAATATCTACACAAGCCGACTATCATATGAGTGTTAGAGGTAAATCTGAGTGGAGATTGAAGACCTCCATCATAGGTTATGTTTGCATAGCGAGGAAAGGAATGATGTATAATACTTCTGTAGGAGAATTAACTTGTCTAGGGCAAAAAGCTTATGATGATGATACAAAGAATACAACTTGGTGGTCGGCTTCAAATGTCTCAGAACCATCTAACCCGTTTGCAAGATATGCCAATTTAAAGGACGTATGGTTTGATCTATCCATCACATCTAACTGGAGAGCCCCAGCGAATTTGTACTGGATCTGTGGTAAGAAGGCCTATTCGGAGTTACCACAGGACTGGGAAGGGGCATGTGTGTTGGGTATGTTAAAACCATCCTTCTTCTTGTTGCCTATTGAAACAGGTGAGACTTTAGGTGTTAAAGTGTATGATGTGAATCATAGGAAGAAAAGGGGACCCATAGAGATAGGTGCCTGGGAAGATAATGAATGGCCTCCCCAGCGTATTATAGATTATTATGGGCCAGCCACGTGGGCAGAGGATGGTACCTTTGGTTATAGAACCCCTATTTATATGCTCAACCGCATTATAAGGTTACAGGCGGTGGTTGAGATCATTACTAACGAGACATCACAAGCGCTCAATCTTCTAGCGAAGCATAATACCAGGATGAGGACAGCAGTTTACCAAAATAGATTAGCCTTGGATTATCTTTTGGCAGTAGAGGGAGGTGTATGTGGGAAGTTTAACCTGAGCAATTGCTGTCTTCAAATAGATGACGAAGGGCAAGCAATAGCTGAGCTTACTAGCCATATGGTTAAACTAGCGCATGTGCCTACTCAGGTATGGAAAGGGTACAATCCAAGTAGTTGGTTTGGTAGCTGGTATGAGTGGTTTGGAGGGCTTAAGGCAGTGGTAGGTGGAGTCCTACTGATTTTAATGTTGTGTCTACTCCTGCCGTGTCTTATACCCTTAGTAGTTAGGTCTGTGCAAAGCCTGATAGAAAATATAGCAGAGAGGAAGGCTGCTGCACAGATAATGGCAATTTATAAATATAAGGCTCTAGATCAGGGAGAACCAATGCAGGAAGACGAGTGTTGAAGATTCACATCATAGGATAAGTCTGGTCTGGTTCAAAGGTAACTTGTGGTGTATGCAAACCAAGGTTAAGTGATGCCTCAGGTAATTGTAAAATATCAAGAGGCATCAAAGGGGGGAATGTGGTGGAATCTCGGTAAAAATAAATTTAGTAGGCCGAGATTACCACGTGGCATGTGTACGTGCATATGCTGACGTATCGATCAGTTGGTTGCACGAGGCAAGATACGATCAGTAGTGTACGGAGCATGTGCAAGAATACAGGATGTAGTATTCCCCTCCTCCATTGTGCTGGACAAGCCATGCGGTCAAGCAGGAAGTTAATTCTTATTTGTAATGATTGGTCAAGAGAATGTGCGGGTGGAGCTTAATATGGGAGGAGTTATGTGCCTATATAGGGAGCCTGCACTATTGTTCAGGGCTCAGAACTTGCTGTATTTTTGGTGACATTAGTCCCTCTGAGTCCCGATCGGTGATCCAATAAAGAATCTCTTCCTTCCTGAAGAAACCTGTGTCCATCTCTCTGTGCTTTGCTTCCGTCAGTTTCTCCGGTATCATAAGTATTCAAATAGTGTTGGTCCAGTTTGACTCCTTACCTTGGATCTGCTGGGCACTGCTACCAGCTCTTCGTCTGAGCAAAGCCCAGAGTTCCAGGGCTTAGCTCACTACTTGAGAGCAATCAGCTGACATCAATCAGCCAGTGACTTTGCCCTATCTGTCATGGTTCTGCTTATGGTAGCTAATGGAAGCAAATAACTAGGAGCTGGTTGCAATGGTCTAAAACAGTTTGACTACTTACATTTGGGACCATCAAGGCACTCCTGGCACCATAACCACAACAGTGCACTGTAGTGGTTATGGTGCTCGGGTGTTCCTTTAGTGCTCCTTACCAAATTAGGAAACACATTTGTGGAATTTTAACTAGATTCTGGCAATATAACAGATTTTTTTACATTTTCCGTCTCAACTAAGTTTGTCTCAACAATAGGAAATTAATTTTTAAATTCATCACAGTTCACTGTTTAGTGAATACATCCCAAAGTATTTCTACCTTATTACTCTCCTCCTGTAGATCAGCAAGCACACAACCGTATTGTGTGCTGCGGTGATTAATAAGAGCTCTAGTGTTGCTTTATAACCCTGGGACATTTTGACATTCAGGTGACTTAGTATTTCTCATTTTGTATTATTATGCTGTCTTCAGGCAAGAACACTTGTCTTGAGAAAGAGTTCGGTTTTACAGAATGATATAAATCTTTTTTTCTAAATTCACAGGCTTTGAGCAAAAACATAGAGGAAAAGGATTTAATTCTAAGTTTCTTCCAAGCATATATTTGTTGAGCACTGAAAAACATTAGATCATAACTACCAGCTTGTCCTGAGTTCTGTCTAGACTTCGGCACAAATCATTTTCACCTGCGACGAATGGGTAAGATAATACTGAAAGTCTCTCTCGAAAACAAAGGCTCTCCTGGATGAAACTTCCTCAGCCCCACTTAGTAAAGGTACCTCTGAAACTCATTTCACACCAGAACTGTCCAACAACAATACATCCACTCGGGCAGACAACATTACTGCCTCCTCGTAGCCTAAACTGGAGGTGAAATTTGACATCATTCAGTACGCTATTGGTTATTTGGTCAGGAAAAAATGGCAGTCAATTCTTTCAGGCTTGGCAGCCTTGAAAACAGGCAGAGTGACTTGGAAGATTCACCTACTCTATTACAGACCCAATCCAACAACAATTACTTACCTCATGCCTGCCGGGAACATCCGAACAGACTATGTGCGTGAGCATGTTAGCTGTTTGCGTGGCCCATGACGATCAGGAACCAAACTCGGAGCACATTCTTTAAAGGGCATTAAGGGATCCAGTCAGTTCCGGCTAGAATTGGTACACGCCAGTTCGTCATCCCATTAACGTACATTTTGGGGTGGCAAGCGTGACGTGAACCAATCAATTAAGACACAATGGTATTTAAACTCCTATTCGCTGTGTCCTATCATGGTTTCTGTTCTCAGTACCCTTTAGTGCATTCCTTCATACATTGTGATGTTTCTAGTATTGACCTCAGTTTTGTTCTTGACCCTGAGTTTCTCTATAACCATTTCCTGTATTATTTACCTTTTTAATTGATATACCGTGTACCTGACTTCGGCTGTCTTATCTTGACCTAGGCTTGTATTTGACCACATTTCCTCTCTATTATATGTTAAGGCCAGCCACTCTAAGTACTGGTAATACATTTATTTCAGTCCAGTTTACTACTGCTAACCTTGCGTGTTTGGGCTATACCTCATGATAATATCACAACTCTAAACAAAGGTGGAGAATCATGAAAACAGGATCAGAAATAATAATTTATGCTTTATAAACCTTCCGGAGTCCATAAAATCTCACACTTTACTCTCTCTATTGCAGTCATGGATACCAGAGGCATTACACCCTCCCTATGACTCGGACAAACCACTACTGGTTGAAAGCGCACACCATCCAGGCCCTGAGATAACCTCAAAATCTGGTACACACAAGACCAAGGGCGGTAATTATCTGTCTTCTAAACTTTTGCGATAAAGAAACCATTCTTCAAGCATATTGAAGAACAAATTAATTATCCTACCAAGAACATAAAGTATTCATCTTTCAAGACTATTCACCATAAGTGGTGGTTAAAAAGTACACATTTTCTCCAATTTGCAAAACACTGGTGGAAAATAAGAACAAATTCCAACTTTAATTCCCTGCCAATGTAAAGTTTACTCATGAAAACTAATGTTTATTTGATTCGCCTGCTGCAGCTCAGAAACTGATTTCTATTGTCAACTTCACCTGAAGTTTCTGATATCCTGATTCCATGGATCTCCAAACCACATGAACTGGTGTCTCACTGGCTGTATGGGCCGCTCTCTATGTTCTCAATGTTTTATTGTTTGTTTACTCTTGATTGTTCTTATGCTCTCTACCTCAGACAATTTACTGAAATCCCTTGGTAGCCTATCGGTAGGTCCAGATTAAGAGCCCAGATGGGCCTAATTACAAAATCTTATTGATCAAAAACACTAAAACAGTCCTACCTCCTAAGCGTCATGTATCTGATGGAGATGGTGCTGGAGGGAAACTCATAGGATGCAGCTATGAGAAAATACATACCCTATGCTAATCTCTCTCTAATTTATGCTTTCATCTTTCAAGTAAATCCATACCCCCTAACAGCAGTGTCCAGTAAAGCAGAAAGTCTATGGATGGGGTAAAAGGGTGGGCCACTGACACAAATCACATAACAGGAACTGCCGAAAGGGACGAACATACACAAAAAGGGGCATGTCTGTGTCCCCATGTCTCCCAGTCCCTTAGTGTCTGTGTCCCCATGTCACTAGGACACTAGGGGACATTAAGAGACATTGGGACACTGGGAGACATGGGGACACTGAGATACTAGGGAACACTGGGAGACCTGGGGACACCGAGACTCTTGGGGACACTGGGACACATGGAGAAATGGGGACGCTGGGTGACTTTGGGACACAAGGGGACACTGGGAGACATGGGGCACTGAGACACTGTGATACATAGGGGACACTGTGATATATAGGGGACACTGGAGACTTGATAAAGACCTGGGTACAGGTCAAAATGTTGCGTTGTCCAATAAACCTGCTTAAATCTATCACAGTGAGTGCCTGAGATTTTTTTCTTCTATACTAGGCACTGAGGCACTTGGGGACACTGTGAGACATGGGGACACTGAGAGACTAGGGGATTCTGAGAGACTAGGGGACACTGACACACAAAGGACACTGAGACACTACAGCCACGAGAGACACCAGGAACACTGGGAGACATGGGGCACTGAGATACTCTGATACATAGGGGACACTGGAGACTTTATAAAGACCTGGGTACAGGTCGAAACGTTGCAGTGTCCAATAAACCTGCTTAAATCTATAACAGTGAGATTTTTTTCTTTTGTACTAGGGGACACTGAGACACTGGGAGACATGGGGACACTGGGAGACTAGGGAACTTTGGGAGACTAGGAAACACTGAGACACTAGGGACACTGGCACACTATGGACATTGAGAGACACCAGGGACACTGGGAGACATGGGGATACTGAGATAATAGGGACACTGGCTGGGAGACATGGGGACACTGGGAGTGCCCCATGTCTCCCAGGTCTCAAAGTCGCCCAGTGTCCCCATGTCTCCCTGTGTCCCCATGTCTCTCAGTGTCCCCTAGTGTCTCAGTGTCCACATGTCGTCTAGTGTTTGTATCCCCATGACTCCCAGTGTCCCTCAGAGTCTGTGTCCCCATGTCTCCCAGTGTCCCAATGTCACTAGGACACTAGGGGACACTTAGAGACATTGGGACACTGTGAGACATGGGGACACTGAGATACATAGGGACACTGAGAGAATAGGGGACTCTGGGAGACTAGGGACACAGAGACACCAGGGACACTGGGAGACATGGGGACACTGAGAGACTAGGGGCCACTGAGAGACATGGGGTCACTGTTGTCAGGATCGTGACAGGGATCCAACACGCAGAATACAAACAGGGGATAGGTACGTATACCGGACCTTAGAATGGCCGGACTAACGTAAGGAGAAAGCAAAAGAATAGTCAGAGACAAGCCGAGGTCGAGGGAACGAGAGATCAGGTAAGCGAGAGACAAGCCGAGTCAAAAGGACAAGAGAGGAAAGCAGGGTCAAAATACAAGCCGAGTCAGGAACCAAAAGACAATAGAGGTAATTGCACTGAGTGACCAGACTAGCTAGAACCACGACAGGGCAATGAATCATTCCACAGAACCCTTTTTTATACCTTGGCTCTTTAACTGTTGGCTCCGCCCCCAACGAGTCCTGATTCGTTGTTCGGCACTTGGTTGCCGTGATTGACGGGTCGGAACGTGATTGCCGTCATGACGTCGGCTACTGAGCGCCGCGTCATAAAAGGAGGCGGAGCTATCGCGGCCGGCGTGTAAACGACCGGGAGGAGTGCAAGGATCGGGTGAGTCAGCCCCCCTGGGAGGATGGACGTCTAGGTGTCTAACCTCCTCCGAGGTAGACACCAAAGGTACCCTGACAGTACCCCCCCTCTCAGAAACGCCCACCGGGCGGAAGGAACCGGGGCGGGACGGAAAACGAGCATGAAATGCCCGGAGGAGACGAGGGGCATGCACATTTTCATGGACCACCCAAGACCTTTCTTCAGGCCCATACCCCTTCCAGTCAACAAGATATTGCAACTTCCCCCGAGAAATACGAGAATCGAGAATGGATTTGATTTCATATTCCTCCTGACCCTCAACCTGGACAGAGAGAGGGGAGGACTCAGCGGAGGAAAATCTGTTGCAAACCAAAGGCTTCAACAAAGAAACATGAAAAGAGTTAGGGATGCGCAGGGCAGGCGGAAGGGCAAGACGATACGCAACCGGGTTAATCCGACACAGAACCTTGTAAGGGCCTATGTAACGAGGGGCAAATTTCATGGAAGGAACCTTCAAGCGGATGTTTCTGGTACTCAACCACACCCTATCACCCGGGGCAAAAACCGGAGCCACCCGTCTCCGTTTGTCAGCGTGTCGTTTGAACACCATGGAATTCTGAAGAAGAATTCGTCGAGTCTGATCCCACAACTTTCTCAGATTGGCGACATGAACATCAACCGACGGAACCCCTTGGGAAGGGGAAACCGACGGAAGAATGGAAGGATGAAAGCCATAATTCAAGAAAAAGGGGCTAGAACGAGTAGAATCACAAACGAGATTGTTGTGTGCAAACTCTGCCCAAGGAATCAGACCAACCCAATCGTCCTGGTGTTCAGAAACAAAACAACGCAAATATTGTTCAATCTTTTGGTTGGTGCGTTCGGCAGCTCCGTTGGACTGGGGATGATAGGCAGAGGAGAAGTTCAACTTGATGCCTAAGTGAGAACAGAAAGACTTCCAAAAGCGGGAAACAAATTGGGAACCTCTATCAGAAACAATTTCAGAGGGAATACCATGTAGACGAAAAATCTCCCTCGCGAATATCTCAGCTAATTCGGGAGACGAGGGCAGTTTAGGCAAGGGCACGAAATGAGCCATTTTAGTAAACCTGTCAATCACCGTGAGAATAACAGTATGTTTTTTAGAAACAGGCAAATCGACAATGAAATCCATAGCCAAACACGACCATGGTCTCTCGGGAATTTCTAAGGGATGCAAAAGTCCACAAGGGAGCGCGTGAGGTTGCTTAGTCTTCATACAGACAGCACATGCCCTGACGAAATCCCTTATATCCTTACGAAGGGAAGGCCACCAGAAATCTTTAGAAATCAGGGAACACGTTTTGCGTGTGCCGGGGTGCCCAGCAATTTTACTGTCATGAAAGCAATGCAGCAGTTCCACTTGGAGCTCAGGAGGAACGAAGTATCGATCCCCAGGAACAGGTTTGGGAGCTAGATGTTGTACTTTCTTGATCTCAGCAAGCAACGGCGAGTGTATCCTGACACAAGTGTTGGCAATAATATTACACTTAGGAACGATAGAAGACAAAGCTGCTTCAGACACCGTAGAGGGTTCATGTTGACGGGACAATGCATCTGCCTTAGAGTTCTTAGAACCAGGTCTATAAGTGAGCACGTAATTGAAATGTGTCAGAAACAAGGACCAACGAGCTTGCCTGGCGGACAAGCGCTTGGCCTCCCCTATGTAGGACAAATTCTTGTGATCAGTCAAAATAGTAACCGGGTATAATGTCCCCTCCAACAAATGTCTCCATTCCTTTAAAGCCATAATGACCGCTAACAGTTCCCTATCACCAATGTCATATCTACTTTCAGGCCCAGATAATTTCTTGGAAAAAAAACCACAAGGATGTAACGGTTTATCCAAACCTAGCCTTTGGGACAAGATAGCGCCTATACCTGTCTCCGAGGCGTCAACCTCGAGTAAAAAAGGCAAAGATGTGTCAGGATGAACTAATATCGGTGCTGAGGCAAAATGTTCCTTGAGAGTTTTGAAAGCAGAGAGAGCCTCTGTGGACCAAGTCTTGGTATCAGCCCCTGTCTAGTCATATTAGTAATAGGAGCAATAATAGAAGAGTAACCTTTAATGAAGCGCCTATAATAATTGGAAAATCCGATAAATCTCTGAATGGCCTTGAGTCCCCTGGGCAATGGCCAATCTAAAATCGATTGGAGTTTAATGGGGTCCATCCTAAATCCGTCTCCAGAAATAACGTAGCCAAGAAAGTTTATCTGAGATTGGTCGAAGCTACACTTTTCCAATTTGCAGTACAATCCATGTTGTAACAGTTTGCGCAGTACCCTTCTGACTTGTCTGTGGTGAGTCTCAATCTCTCTAGAGTGTATTAGTATATCATCCAAATATACTATAACGCATTCATGCTGAAATTCCCTAAGAACCTCATTAATAAGGTCCTGGAATACTGCAGGTGCATTGCAAAGCCCGAAGGGCATTACCGTGTATTCATAGTGGCCATAACGGGTATTGAAAGCTGTTTTCCATTCGTCTCCCTGCTGAATTCTCACCAAGTTATAAGCTCCCCTCAAATCTAACTTGGTAAAAATCTTGGAGCCTTTCAGTCGATCAAAGAGCTCAGTAATTAAAGGAATAGGATAAGCATTTCTAACAGTTATCTTATTCAAGCCCCGATAATCAATGCAAGGCCGTAGAGTGCCGTCTTTTTTATCTACAAAAAAGAAACCGGCCCCGGCCGGAGAAGATGATCTCCTAATAAAACCTTTGTCTAGGTTTTCACGTATGTACTCCTCTAGGACTAAGTTTTCCTTAGTGGATAAAGGATATACCGTACCCCTCGGAGGCATAGTACCAGGTAGGAGTCTAATTTTACAGTCGAAAGACCTATGTGGAGGTAAAGTATCAGCCCTCTTTTTGTCAAAGACTGCCTTTAAATCCTGGTACTGTGATGGTATCTGTAAATCTGTAGGTTGGGAAGAGTTAACCGGGGCGTCAACCCTGCAAATTGGTGAGACTTTCTGCACACATCCTTTCTGGCAACCCTGACCCCAGGAGACTATCTCACCCAGTTCCCAGTCAATGATAGGGTTATGCTTCTTAAGCCAGGGATACCCCAAGACTATAGGAACTGAAGGAGATGAGATCAGCATGAGGGATATTCTTTCCTCGTGAAGGATACCAGTGGTTAACTTAATTGGTATGGTTTCACGAAAAATCACAGGTTCAGATAATGGTCTACCATCTATGGCCTCACGGCCAAGGGTGTATCCCTTAGCTGAGATGGGATAGAATGGTTAGTGACAAAGGCTTGGTCAATAAAGCTTTCAGCTGCTCCGGAATCTATCAAAGCCATAGCATTAAGTACTCCCTTTTCCCAAGCTAAAGAAACAGGTATCAGAAGCCTATGATCTTTATAATCATAAATAGAGGACAAGATAGAAACACCCAAGGCCTGTCCTCTTGAGAAACTTAGGTGCGAGCGTTTCCCGGCCGGTTAGGGCAATTTAGGCGTAGGTGACCTCTAATTCCGCAATACATACAAAGACCCTCCCTTCTCCTGTACTGTCTTTCCTCCTCTGAGAGTCGAGTATGACCTATTTGCATAGGTTCTGGGAGAGCTAAAGTAGTAGAATCAGAAGTCTGAAATGAGGGAGCTAGTCTTATGGAGGATCTGCGGGTTCTATCCCGAATATTCTGCCTCTGTCTCATACGTTCATCTATTCGGGAAATAAATGAAATCAGATCCTCCAAATTTTCAGGAAGATCTCTTGTGGCCACCTCATCTAAAATCTCATCAGATAACCCGTTCATAAATACGTCCATATAAGCCTGTTCATTCCACTTGACCTCTGCCGCCAAGGATCTGAACTCCAAGGCATAATCCACTAGGGTTCGGTTATACTGTCTAAGACGTAACAGTAGTCTAGCTGCATTGGCCTTTCTTCCTGGAGGGTCAAAAGCTCTCCTAAATGCAGCGACAAAAGCATTATAATTATAAACTAACGGGTTATCATTTTCCCACAGGGGGTTAGCCCATCTAAGTGCCTTGTCAATGAGCAAGGTAATTATAAATCCAACCTTTGCCCTGTCAGTAGGGTAGGCGTGGGGTTGTAATTCAAAATGAATACCTATCTGGTTTAAAAAACCTCGACAAGTGTCAGGAGCGCCGCCATAGCGTGACGGGGACGTAACACGGGAAGAAGTAGCCACTGTGGCTACCTCTAGGCCTGTACTTATAGGAGAGATAGATGGGGTACGCATCTCCTCTGAGTGACTACTAGGACGAGATAGCAATGCTTGCAGAGCTAGAGCCATCTGGTCCATTCTATGATCCATGGCCTCAAATCTAGAGTCAGGAGAACCGACCTGAGAGTTTGTACCTGCAGGATCCATTGGCCCTGTCGTAATGTCAGGATCGTGACAGGGATCCAACACGCAGAATACAAACAGGGGATAGGTACGTATACCGGACCTTAGAATGGCCGGACTAACGTAAGGAGAAAGCAAAAGAATAGTCAGAGACAAGCCGAGGTCGAGGGAACGAGAGATCAGGTAAGCGAGAGACAAGCCGAGTCAAAAGGACAAGAGAGGAAAGCAGGGTCAAAATACAAGCCGAGTCAGGAACCAAAAGACAATAGAGGTAATTGCACTGAGTGACCAGACTAGCTAGAACCACGACAGGGCAATGAATCATTCCACAGAACCCTTTTTTATACCTTGGCTCTTTAACTGTTGGCTCCGCCCCCAACGAGTCCTGATTCGTTGTTCGGCACTTGGTTGCCGTGATTGACGGGTCGGAACGTGATTGCCGTCATGACGTCGGCTACTGAGCGCCGCGTCATAAAAGGAGGCGGAGCTATCGCGGCCGGCGTGTAAACGACCGGGAGGAGTGCAAGGATCGGGTGAGTCAGCCCCCGTGGGAGGATGGACGTCTAGGTGTCTAACCTCCTCCGAGGTAGACACCAAAGGTACCCTGACAACTGTGTCCCTAGTGTCTCAGGATCCCCATGTTCCCCAGTGTCCCTATGTCTGCCAATGTCTCAGCGTCCCCAAGTCTCTCACCGTCCCCATGTCTCGCAGGCTCAGAGCTGCTGTCTGCACTCTCTGTGCAGAGCTTCTCCCCCACGGATCAGTAAGTAGAGAGAGGCAGGGAGGGAGATGCTGTAACTTCTTATCCCTGCCTCTCTCCACGCAAACAGCGACCCCTACTGGCCGGTGCTGCTATTGCAGAATAATCTCTGTTTATACTGAGACAGTCATTTATATTGCCGGTATTACTGGAATACCGGGCAGCCTTAAATACCTGAGAAATACTTCTGAGAAATACCTGGCAACCAAAAGAAATACCTGAGAAATACCTGGCAACCCTAAGAGTAGTGTGTGTTGAAAAACTTTTTTTTAAAATCAATGGGCCTCTTCCATGGGCCTGGAGCTGCAGCTCCATCAGCCCCTATGTTAATCCGGCCCTGCCTATCAGCCTCTCACTATAAATTTGCTCTCCACATTGGCTGGGACGTGAGGAATGAGCAACAGTATACCTCAATGCTCAATCTATTGACCTGCCCTTATAATCCAGGTTAATGTCTCACCCCTATCTACAAATGTTAATGGTCTTATGTCCCCTATTAAATGTAAGCTAATCCTGTCCCAAATTCGCAAATACAACCCTCAAGTAGTGTTCCTTCAAGAAACAAAACCTCCACTTATACCCTGAGGGCAAGATGGTTAGAATCATTTATTTCAGCCCCTTACAGATGTAACTCAAAGGGAGTAGCCATTCTACTTAGTAAATCCACCACCCCAATTATGTGTAAACAAATTATAGACCTAGTTGGAAGATTTCTTATTCTAGATCAGTGCTGCCCAACAGGTAGATCCCCCGATGTTGTAGAACTACAACTCACATGATGCTTTGTCATTCTAAATGCATGCAAAGCATCGTGGGAGTTGTAGTTCTACAAACATATCTACCTGTTGGGCAGCCATGTACTAGACATGACCCTAGAAGGTACCTGTTATGCCTTAGTCAATGTATATGCTCCAAATACCTCGAAAGCCCCCTATTTAATGAAATTGCTTAATATTTTTATTCCATTTACAGGTCCAAACTTGATAGTGGGGTGGGGACTAACCAGATGGAAAGGTCTGGCTATGCCCTATCGACCCCCTCTCAGAGAAGCTTCTACCTCACAGATATCTGGTGGTTATGGAACATTGAGGTCAGGAATTACACACACACATCTAGAGCTTATAACACCTCATCTAGAATTGAACTTTTTTAAATCTCTCCTTAACTAGAAGCCAAAAAAAAACAGTCAGAAATCTATAATATTTTAGTCTCAGAGCACTAATATCCCATCTTCTATATCCACTACAGACCTTACCCATCCTTCTCTCACGCTTAGATGAGAAAACTCTTTATGCTCTTATCTCTAAATTCCTCTGGCAACATAAACTCCAGAGGATTGCGTAACATAAATGATCTCAACCCAGACTTTATCAAGGTCTCAATGTTCCAAACCTAAAACTCTATACCTTCGCTGGACACTTTCGCTATCTCCTAGATTGGACAAGAGGATATGGACAATTAACAGCGGTATCTATAGAAGCACATCTTTGCCCTGGAGTAGCACATTTTTACATACTCCCTACGCCTCCATCCCAGAGGAGGCACAAGAAAATCCCTTATTGGAATCCACTAATAAAGCGTGGACGTTAAGGAGACAAATTCTAGGGCTCCAGTGGCAATACAGCGGATTCATCCCCTTTTTACGTAACCCACACTTTCATGATGTGGAAGCTCAATACCCCTACTGTTCTGGGAAACTGCAGCCCATGCTCATATACATGATTTCTTAGAAAACCATCATAGATGGAGAGCAAAAATGGGTCGCAAGAGTATTCTGAGAACAGACAGCAGCTAAAATAGGCTGCCCTTCGGTGGGTCCCCGCTCAGAACTCAAGCTGGTTTTAGCTCATCTTGTGCCATTACAGAGAGAACATATCTGAAGCATATCAGACTGGTCCCACCCATACGGGCAGTCCAGATCCAAAATGCCAGCAAGATCTCTCTGCACGAGAGATACAGCAACCCCAGACGATCGTTTCAGCCTTGTTAGGCATCATCAGTGAGGCATAGCTGATATCTCTCTAGGCGTCTGGATTACCCTTTAAACTAATGGAGAGCAAAAATGGGTCGCAAGAGTATTCTGAGAACAGACAGCAGTTAAAATAGCCTGCCCTTCGGTGGGTCCCCACTCAGAACTCAAGCTGGTTTTAGCTCAGACTGGGTGGGACCAGTCTGATGTGCTTCAGATATGTTCTCTCTGTAATGGCACAAGATGAGCAAAAACCAGCTTGAGTTCTGAGCGGGGACCCACCGAAGGGCAGGCTACTTTAGCTACTGCCCGTTCTCAGTATACTCTTGCGACCCATTTTTTTTGTTCTCCATCATAGATGGATGCGCATAAGAATTCTGTTAAACAGTACTGTTTCCGGACAGTAACTTGGGGGGCCCTAAGTAACCTGGTAGAGCACTGTACTGCTGATGTTTCATTTTATAAATATTCTCCAGGATTCTCCACAACCGCTGGGCTCCAGGGCCCCTCAACTGTGGCATCAACCCCCAAATCTCTCCAAGCAATGCCTATAGTCCCCATATATTGAAGCACTCGCAGTGGCTGGGGACAGGTGTAACCTGAAATCTGGAGTGTCCTGATAAAAGCAGGCCAGTTGGAAAGGCCTGCCATGATAAGTGAAAACAGGAAAGCATAAATTCGCTATTGGGGAGTTGGGGGGGCTCTACATCTAAGCCATAGTCAACACTTGGCAAGTTTAAAATAAACTATTTCAGACTAAACTCCAAGGGGCGATTTTCTTTACAGCCAGTTTAGACAGTTACCCTATAAAGTAATAAAAAAAATATAGACTTACTTTTAATGGAAAAAAAAAAACCACAAACACATTATTACTTTTGCCAGTAACACACATGGCAGCCAAAGCCTCCATAGGGCAGCCACGGCGGAAGTGACGTCACGTAGTGTTGTAGGGGCGGGGCTTGGAGTAGCTCGGCTGGGTGATACACAGCAGAGAGTATCGAGGAGTGACTGCGTCTCCAGACCGATCGCCAGCGTCGCGCGCCCCCTGTGTACCCACAGACCCCCGGGCTCGCCAGCCGGGCGCCATATTTACAGGTAACGGACTGTCCACTCGTGGTGGTCGCCATGCGCCCCATATGGCGCCTCCTCATACACCGCTCTCCGCCTGGCTCCTTGGTGGGAGATGTGAGAAGCGGAGAGAGTGAGGGGCTACTCGTCCTCACTGCAGCGGTCAGGGCAGGAGTCACCTCTTAGCCACGCCCACTCGCGGTCTCCATGGTAACGGGATGCGGTGACCACTCCAAGTGATTGGTGATGGCTGGGAGCCACCTGTAGCCCCCCCTCCCACCCGTATCACGGCTCATAGGGCGATCATACCAATTAAAGGGCTCACAGCAAACACCACAACTACTGCATCTCCTCACCAACAACCCAGCACTGTAGCTTTAAATCAGTGCAGGTGCTTATTATTGTCATTTACCCCCCATCAGTATGAAGGAGCATGGCATGGTGGGGAGATTAGTACTCCATGGTGTCAGCATGTGTAGCAAAATTGGGTCAAACTGATTATAGCATTATGTGTCTTTTATATATATATATATATATGTGTGTGTGTAATCATATTTTTAGAAGCAAAACAATAATCACATTGTACATATGGGTGCCTATAGTGGTGGTGCCTATAGCCCAGGAGTAGTGGGAGCCCTGCACTCAAACTCTCACTACTCCTGGACTTTTGTATTACACAGCCATGTTACAGTGCTGCAACCCACCCCAGAAAAATGCCCCTCTCTGTCTCCTTAGAGATATTTTCTTTATAGCTGAAGACAACAAAGTGAACTGATAGCAGAGGACTCAAGAGGTTTTGCCTTGAGTGGCAGGTGAGCTTACACTTAAATGGCCATTGGAGTGGTACTAAAAAAAAAAGAAAATGTGCATAAGGATTTGGGATAGTGTGCAAGTAGCTTCTTTTTTTTTGTGGTTATTATCTCATTGTAGATGATTGCAGTTATAATTATTTTGGATATACTTAATATGTAAAATTGGTATTTCATTAAGCATTACTTAAATACAGATTATCAATGCCTGTTTCTCCTCTACTTGACAAGGTGAAAGCCTGATATAAGGAGAAATGGTAAGGTAGTGAAGGGGTTAACCCTAAATGTAAATATAATTAAGAAAAAAGAGAGAGGAGCACTACCAAAAAAGTATATAGTTTAAAATTTAACTTTTAATGGTGAACGAAATACAAAGTGATCATTTCACATATAGAGTCATATTTGGTCTATATATATATATATATATATATATATATATATATATATATATATATATATATATATATATATATATATATATATATATATCAAGACCCAAGTCCAGGTCCTGGTTTGGTTTTTAAATCTTATACTTTCTCATATGATCTTTTTGGGTCTTGATATATATATATAGACCAAATATGACTCTATATGTGAAATGATCACTTTGTATTTCGTTCACCATTAAAAGTTAAATTTTAAACTATATACTTTTTTGGTAGTGCTCCTCTCTCTTTTTTCTTAATTACTGTTTCTCCTCTATTTCACAAACTTCTGTGAATAACCATTTCCACATATCCCCCTTTCATATACAGTTTAGCATTGTTGTCTGCCTTTTTTTATATTTAGTGTTCTAATGCCAGTGGTTATTTGTAATGGAAAAATGGGGTGTATGGGCCATATAACACGGCTTCTCATTATATTCTCCAGCAGGAAAGCAATATTTCCAGGGTTATTTGCTAAAGTGAAAATTGTCAGAAATTTAAGTGAAACCCAATTAAAGGCTCCTTCTAGCTGTCAGAGGTATAGCCAACAAGGGCCAATTATTTTCGAGTAGGAAAACGTTGTTTATGCAACTTTTTTTTTTTTTTTTTTACGAAATGCAAATTTCTGTGCAATATTTTATTGTATTGAAATAGCGTTATCAGCCATTGTGTGTAATGTAAATAGATTTATGGTGAAGCTTTCGAAATTTGTGTGTTGTGTATTGACTGTATCCTAGTAAAGGAGTCTTACTATTCACAATAGCTACTATCCCTGAAGCATTGGCTAAACAAATCTTGTCACTCTAGCAATCATTATAGGCATTGTTCCACATTCCAAAGCTGTAGTGGCAGATAAGTACTTACATTTCTTACGTTTATCTTTTCTAAGATAATCTGGTTGGAAAATAGAAAATATATTCCATAATAACCAATATTTCAGAGTACCTCAGCCCACAGGGAGTTTGCCTCTCTCCCTATGGAAGCCTCAGGACACCTTACAGTGTTCATAGCAAACCACTGTGCACATTGACTAATTAAGAGATCATGAAACATGGTTTATGGTTCTCTTATGTTAATAGATGTGTTTTTTTTTTTTTTTCGGGACTGTGCTGGCTTAAAGGGATACTCTAAGCACCAAAGCAACGTTGGTTTTGTTGTAGATAACATGGCCCTGCAGTATCACTGCTCAGTTCTCTGCCGTTTAAGAGTTACTCCAAGCACCATGACTACTTAAGTGATATGAAGTATTCATTGTGCCTGTAGTCTGTATGTGCAGCATTACGCTATGAAATGCTGCACATAATAATTATTGGTATTTTTTATAGCGCCAACTAATTAACCAATTCTGCAGCGCTTTACAATATTATGAAAGGGAGGGGGAAGGAGGATTTACAATACATGAGACAATTACACAGTGACACAGGAACAATAGGTAGATGAGAGCCCTGCTCAAACGATCTTACAGTCTAGAGGAGGTGGGGTACAAATACACAGCAGGGAAGCAAAGGTGACAGCCACCAAACAAGGTGGAAAAGTAGCAGAACTGGAGGTGAGAGTGGAGTGTGGCTCTTTAGGAGAGCAAGAGACAGACCGGGGTAACTATAGAGAAGTCCATAAGCATTTCTGAACAGATGTGTTTTGAGGGACTTCTTAAACAACTGAAGACTAGAGAGTCTGGCAGTAGGCAGGCTGTTCCAAAGGGAGGGAGCCGCCCGCAAGAAGTCCTGCAAGCCTGTGTTAGCAGTAAGGGTGCGAGCAGCAGACAGAAGGTGGTCACCGACAGAGAAGGGGCATATCTATGAATCAGGGAAGAAATGTAAGTGGGCTAGAGTTGGTTAGAGCTTTACAGGTAAGGGTTAGTATTTTGAATTGACACCTATATGATACAGGAAGCCAGTGTAAGGATCGACAGAGGGGTGAGGTATGGGAGGAATGATGGGTGATAAATATGGTGTTTAAAGGACCACTATAGGCCCCCAGACCACTTCAGCTCAATGAAGCTGTTTGGGTGGCAGGTCCCTCTAGTGTTAACCCTGCAGCTGAAAACATAGCAGTTTCAGAGAAACTGCTATGTTTCACTGAGGGTTAATCCAGCCTCTAGTGGCTGTCTCACTGACAGCCGCTAGAGTCGCTTCCGCGCTTCTCATTGTGAAAATCACAGTGTGAAGACGCTGGACGTCCATAGAAAAGCATTGGGAAATGCTTTCCTGTGGGCGGTTTGAATGCGCGTGCAGCACTGACATCGGCAGAGGGAGTTCCCCGGCGCTGGATTTTGGTACCCCTTCAGCCCAGCGGGTGTGGGACCCTGAGGGTGGGGGGAACCTAAAGATCCTATAGTGCCAGGAAAACGAGTTTTTTTTTTTTTTTTCCTGGTACTATAGTGGTCCTTTAACGCTGTTACTTCCACCTCTGGTAGCATCATTGGGACATCATTAACGAAAAGAGTTCTGGGCTGGCTAATGTCAATTCTGTGCATATTTCTTTGCTCTCAGCCACGGAATTACATCTTGTGCAATCAGCTGAAACTTTCAGATAACGAATAACTGTCACATTTGGAATCTGGCTTCTGCAGCTCTGTGACCACTGAGGGTAAACCATTACAAGACAGTTTGCCCTATTACAGTGAAACCAGGCCAGTGTACTCCTACCATCATAACTACTGCAGGAAGAGTCGTACCTCCAACAGCATAGGTGTAAAACTCCATACGTGCAGTATTTTGTAGTGAAACACTGCACATACAGACTCCAGGCACCATGACTACTTAAAATCACTGAAGTGGTTTTGGTGCTTGGATTAACAGTTTAACTCCTAAATGGCACATAATTGAGCAGTGAGACTGTAGAGGCATGATCTAGGCAACACAACTACATTAAGCCTAAGTTGTTTTGGTGCTCACTGTCTCTTTTTATGACCATTATTATTTATTTATAAAATATTTTACCAGGAAGGATACATTGCGATTTCTCTCGTTCATGAGCATTTCTATAGTGCCAACATATTCCACAGTACTTTACATTAAGCCACCAATGTTTTCTTGAAAGGTTATTACTATAAATTGTAAATATGTAACTCCCAGTCTCGTCTGGCTGAGCATTAGGCACCATAACAACTATAACATGATTAAGTTATGGTGCATGAAGATCCCTGATACTGGCTTATCTTTAGGGGTTAAACAATTCACGAATTTAGTGCCATTTAGCTCTGCCCCTGTCTCCCCTCTGCTCTCTGATTCAATTGAAAAGCAGCTCTACCACCTCCATATCCAAAATGAATATTTAATAAGGATAAGATCTTTATAAGATACTCATATTGACTGTGGCCTCAGTTTAATATTGTTGGATAAGCTTTCCAAATAATTTAATATTTTTGAAAGACTTTTAAAATAATGTTTAAAACATTTTAAAAGGTACTACTTGAAATACTGCACATCCAGAGATATTTGTAATTTATGTGCCGGTGGCAACTCTGTTCCAGGCTACCAAATTTAAATTTTGTGTATAACTTACGTCTATTGTCAGCGCGCACTGCATGCTGCCAATTGATGCCTGCAACGGTAAGCTAGCTCCGCCCTCCCATCCTGAGAGTGGGGACCTTCTCCGTAGTGTACAGTAGGGCATATTACACCAGAAAAGCCCCCCCTCTCAAATGGGTTATAGTTACCCCTTTAGTATATCAAAATATCACAAAATGAAAATATTTGTCCCTGCGTACAGCAGCAGAACGTAAGGGATCTTCGTGTACAATAAGGACTAGTATGCAGTCTATAAAATAAAAATATATTGGAATCCTTCCCACATCGTATATGTATCAGGCATTATGCACCCGATCAGTTCTTGGGCGGATGTGTTTTTGGCAGGTAATGGATGCTGCCAGGGGCCATACAGCAGTTTCTTTTTCAAACGGTTGGTGGATGCAGCATACAGGCTTGATGGAGCATAGCCTTACAGAGTACCATAACTCTTGGAATTTATTTTCTGGTAGACACAGGATGGCGCTGGGTGGTCTAATGGCTGACCAGGGATGCAGCTTCTAAGGTTTACAAGCGTTGTGCCTGAGCTCTTTTAGTGGAATCCATGCCAGGAGCCGATGTGTTCCATGGAGTTTCGTATGTGCAAACAGAAAACGGTCTTTCCTGTTGGACGTCAGAGGAGTTTGTCACATCAGGAAGGCCGTGTCCACCAGCCCCTCCACATGATCGTGAAGCCAGTCTAGGTTTGGATTATTATTGTTCCTTCACTTTCTGGTTTCTTAGTAATTTATTTTGTAGTTTGGTTACTTAAAATTGCTTTAACCCCTTAAGGACACATGACATTTGTGACATGTCATGATTCCCTTTTATTCCAGAAGTTTGGTCCTTAAGGGGTTAAAAATGCCTACCCCAGCAAAATCGAAACAGATTATTTAGTTTGCACAGAATGTGTTACACCTCTTCCTGACGAGTGCAGTAAAAAAGTGTGTAATATCTGTTCACAAGAAGCCATTGAAAAGCCAAGCAAAAGGACGTTAAAGGACCACTATAGGCACCCAGACCACTTCAGCTTAATGAAGTGGTCTGGGTGCCAGGTCCAGCTAGGTTTAACCCTTTTTGCTGTAAACATAGCAGTTTCAGAGAAACTGCTATGTTTACCTATGGGTTAATCCAGCCTCTAGTGGCTGTCTCATTGACAGCCGCTAGAGGCGCTTCCGCGCTTCTCACTGTGATTTTAACAGTGAGAAGACGCCAGCGTCCATAGGAAAGCATTGAGAATGCTTTCCTATGGACTGGCTGAATGCGCACGCGGCTCTTGCCGCGCATGCGCATTCAGCCGATGGAGGCGGAGAGTTGCCCGGCCGGGGAAAAAGGTAAGGGATTACCCCTTCCACCTGCTAGAGACCGGCAGGAGGGGGATTCAGAGGTTTGGGGGGGGATCTAGAGACCATATAGTGCTAGGAACGAGTATGTTTTCCTGGCACTATAGTGGTCCTTTAATACATTCTTGTCATGGTTTCAGGAAAATTTGTTGCAAACATTTTCTAAATTTTAAACAAGTTAACGTAAAGGTTTAGGCTGTGAGTACTGACTATCCAAGAAGTGAATGTCTGATTCTACTCCTGATCTTTCATCTGGGGAATGTTCACAGAATTTAGGAAATTCAGATTCTACAAGTGTATGTTCTGAACAGTAAACAAGTTTTCATTTGGCGGAACTAGGAAAATATGTTAAGTACTAAAAGTGGTGCAAAATGAAGTGATTAAAAGTGCTGAAACCTTTCCTATTTACCCCGATCTGATGGCCTTGATTAAGCAAGTGTATTTATTTCAAAATAGTTTAAATTACAGGAAACAGAAGCATGGGAAACTCTCCCCTAAGTTGACGTGCCAATTTCACAACTTTCTAAAAGGCCACATTACCAATTGGAGAAGCTCAGCCTTAAAAGAGCTCTAATGAATAAAATAGCAGAAACCTCTTTTAGGTGTATTTTTCATGATTTTGCCTTCCTTAGCAAAGCTAACATCTCAGGTTCTACAGTAGACTGATCCCAAAGTGTATGGATTCAAGAACTAGCTTGATGTCTCACGGGTCAAAGTAATGAAAGCTGCAAAGCTATTTAAAAATATCACGCTTGCTAAAAAATATCTGTGCAAAATGACAGATAAATCATTAAAACCATCTGCAAGGAATATGGGCCTTTCTCCTCTGTTGCACATAGGGCTTTCTGGTTAAAATCCTGGTCTGCTCTGAGTGAGCATTAGTTTGAGCAGGAAAAATATTGAAATCCGCTTTAGGTAATCTAATTAAACTATCGGATACAAAAAAAGGCTCTCTCTTAGGAAAGGATTTTTAAATGGAACAAACGTATTTTTCCCCGCTACCAAATTAAATATAATTACAGGGAGGACAAGACCCGTTCCTTTTGTAAATCTAAGGATTAGAAACCCTGGGGAAAAAGGGTTCTTCCTCCAAGTTTGACAAAACCAGAAAATTCTGACTTGACACAAGAATCAAAGTTTGTGGACAGCTGAGGCATTTTGCAGAAAAATAGTCAGAGCAAAACTAGCTGCTGGATTCTAAATACCATTCTTTATGGATACAAAATCAGGTTTGTTACCAAGATTTCAATTCCTCTTCTCCACTTATGCTTATCAAAGAAAGAAGAGGTACTGCTTTCGGAAGCCCTTAAATTGTTCCAGAAAGGGATTTAAGCAAAGTTATATGTTCTATATTCAAGCATTCCAAGGTGTGTGTGTGTGTGTGTGTGTGTGTATGTGTGTGTGTGTGTGTGTATATATATATATATATATATATATATATATATATATATATATATATATATATATATATATATATATATATATATATATATATTCCTTATACAAAAGCCACATAAGGAATATTTATAGTCTCCTATCTGGACAATTGGTTCATCAAAGCATAAACATTTTTCCAGCTAAAGGATTATCTGAAAATTACTCTGGTTGCACTTGAACAACATGGTTGGCTCATCAACTGGGAAAAGTTGGTTTCTTATCCATTAAAAAGATGTATTTTCCCTGTCTAGGCATAGAATCAAAAAAGTTACCCATTTTGCTTCCAGATCACAAAAGTTTAGAATCAGGAAAGCAATTTCCTGCATTCAAAGAAACCCACTTTGTTCAATCAGGCAGGTAATGAGCCTGTGGTGTTACTCACTTTCACCATTCCAGCAGTGAAATGGGCCAAGGCACATATTAGTTCTTTACAAGGAGAAATTCAATGTTGCTCGACCAGGAATCCAGAAGAACTAGACAAAGCATGATTCATCACAGAATATACTTTAAAAGGCCTCTGTTGGTGGAAGATCTCAAATATTATTAAGGCTTTTCTTTCGCACAACTGAACTGGGTAAGAAACACTACAGACGTCTTTAGAACAGGATGAGACTTACATTAATTCCTTAATGGTTCAAGAAAATCGTTCCACAAAAAGTTTCTCACCAGTCATCCAACTTCCAAGAAATGAAGACCGTCCGGAAAGCACTTCATTTCAATAAGCATATAATAAATTAAGCAATGCAGATTCAGTAAGACAATCTTACAACTGTGATTTACTTGAGCAAGCAAGGAGGAACACAAAGCCAGTGTTTCGGCAGAGTTATGTGCAATTATCCTGGCATGGGCAAAAAATATCTCTGCAATTAAAGACGTCCATATAAATGTCATAGAAAATCAACAGACAGAAAATCTTGGTAGACACCTGGAAACAAACTGGTCTCTCGGTCCTCAGGTGTTCAACACACTGCTGTGAATATTCAGAACTCCAGATCTAGACCTCATGGCAACAATACTCAATCTAAAGGTGTCAAAATTCGCCTCCCTTTGCAGACAAGACAGTCTGGATTTCCTAGACCGATTCTCTGTGAAGTGAACCTTTTAATGGCATACATCTTTCCTCAAGCGGCAATGAGTCCAAAGTTCCTGCAAAGGATCAAAAAAAAGACTAGTCCTCTGTCATATCAATAATGCCCTTATGGCTAAATTGCAGCGTGAAAAATATGGATTATCATCAGATGCCTCCCAAACTGGTTGGGGTGCCCATCTAGATTCACAGTTCATTCAGGAGAAATGGACTTCGAAAGAAGCAAAACTTCAGAGAGATGAAGGCAGTTATGAATGCTCTGGTGGCTTTCAGTCCTGTCATTGCAGACCAAGCTGTAAGGGTTAAGTTCTACAACGCCACCACAGTTGCTTACTTGAACTGTCAGGAGGGACAAAAGTAAATTCTACAGGATCTGTGCTACCATATATCTTGAGCACAGTCAAAAGTAACATCATTCTCAGCAACTCGTATCAGAGGTACTCAGAACGTCATCGCAGACGACCTCAGCAGACAATGTTGGTCTCAAGCGGATTGGTCTCTAAAACACCAGATGTTCTCGAGACTGGTATTCTGATTCCAGACATCGATCTTATGGCCACAAGGAAAAACAGGAAAGTCTCACGCATTGCTTCTATTCAGGCACTGGATTATTTTACAGACTTCCTAGACGTCTTGTCCCTCACCTGGAACCTCAACATGGGATAGGTGTCGCGGCTGCACGTGGTTGCACCTGATCAGTGCAACCACACTGACCAGTTTAAGAGTGTACGTGTTCAGCAGCAAGCCAGGAGCCAAACCGTTGGGGCATCCATCCCCTTCACACGCAGGATCCAAAATGGCGCCGACCACGAGGTTGTGGTTATTTGTAGCTCCGCCTCCAAATGTCACATGACACAACGTCGACGCACACACACGTTCTGGGGTCAGAGGCCAAGCCCTGACCAATCACAGCCCTAGAAGGGATATTTAAACCTCCCTAGTTCATTGCCCTGTTGTGTTTTCCCTTCCTGGTTCCCGTGAGTGCATTTTGTTGTCCTTGATATTCCCGGTTTTCTGACCTTGGCTATTTCTGACTATTCTGATCTCTGCTTTCCCTGACTTGGCTTTCTTATCGATTTTGTGTATTTCTGGCTTCCTTGGACATTCTCTGTCTTTCAACGTATTAAGCCGGCCATTCTAAGGAACGGTTTACGTTCTGTCTTTTTTTTTTCTATTCTATGTAGATGTTACATAGTTTTGCATGTTGGATCACATTAAAAGTCGTGATAATAGGTTTTCCCTCCGATAGCCTTGATACCATGGTTAATTCAAAAGATCAGATGGGGAAAAGGCAAGGGTTCTTGCCATTGTTCCCTTCTGGCCGAACCGAAGCTGGTTTTCCGAAACAGAGCGTATGACTATTTAACGCTGGGTTCTGACAATTTCAAGCAACTTCATAGAGAACCGATCAAGTGCCTATTTATATGCATAGAGGCCTGTGTTTACATTTTATTAAAATTCAAACCCAATTAAAAGATATACTGAGACAAGAAAGGGACTTTGTTTCTGTATCTTTCCTAAGTTTGATAAACTTATTAAACGGCAGATCTTCCTTTTTGTCAAGTTTGTCATTTCACATCTGTTACTAGTGACTGCTTAAGAGGGGGAAAAAGCTCTTTCTATGCATGGTCTTGTGGTATCCTCTATTCCAGGCATAGGCGACCTTCGGCACTCCAGATGTTGTGCACTACATCCCCCATAATGCTCTAACACCTATAATGCTGGCAAAGAATCATGGGAGGTGTAGTCCAACACATCTGGAGTGCCAAAGGTTGCCTATGCCTGCTCTAGTCTATAAAACTCTCACATGTGCGAGAGTACACGTCTGACGTCTGCTCCAGGCAGCTGAAGAAGACCAGGAAGATGATCATGGTAGTGCCTGCAGGAGACAGGCCCATGTAAGTATAACCTATCTTCACCTGCCGCCATGGCCACTGGACCCCCATCAGCAATGTCCCTCTCTGGGTGACAAATGGTGACAGAGCCACTTTAAAGAACATTGCATTCTCTCAATTTAAAAACAAAAAATAACAATAAGTATATTTGCTATATTTATATCAAATTATAATTTATTTATTGTTTCTACATTTGAATATTATGTTTATTTACTGTTTTGTTTGATAATGAGAATTATTGCAATTATTTGAAGTGTAAATTAATTCACCAAGAATAATTTTGCATTAGTTAATTATTTTAAGGACAGGTTTGTGCTTAATTAAGATTTAAATGTTTTGAAATTGGATATCTATTGGATAAGGGCTGCTAGCAGTATGATGTGTCAACTCCACTGGGCTCAAACTCCTAACTATTATTTTTTAAAGTCTTCTCCCCTTCTTAATTGCTATCCCTCCCCCCGTTCCCTATAAAAAATTAAAAAAAAAAAATGCAAATTAACCATGTAGGTGGCAAACTTAAAGCACATGTAATATGTACAGAAAAAGCAGCATATGGCACATATCTGCATCTGACTGGCAGTTTATATGTGTGCATAAAAATATGATATGGCTAATCCAATTCCTTTTCTTTTTGATGATTCATTCCATAGGTTTTGACTAATTGAAATTGCATAGATCACTGGCTAGTGACACTAAATTACCTACATGACATCAGCTGGTTAACCCCCTTCTTCAGCTGTAAAATTATAAGTTCTACAAAATACCATTGTTAGTCTTTTCCCTGTATCAAACTGGTTTACATTCCCTAAGTGTAGGGCAGTGTTGCTTTCACAAACCATTTGTGTTGGGTATTGATCTCTGGCCTGATTAAAACCAGGTGCCTGAATGGCTTCATTACTAATTTTAGGGTCCCAATACAGGGGTTAAGAATCACTGATCTATAGAATAAATAGCATTCTGCCCCTAGTGCATACTTGACAATTCATTCTGTTGTGAGCTCATACACTTCCAAAGATATTACAGATATTTCACTGACATCGCAGATCTTCATATTAAACTCTTCTCGTCTTTGACAACCCCTTTATTCATTAATCTACAGACACTATTTAACTCTAAATTAAACTTTGTATAAGTTATTTAATGGCACTTCATTTTCTATATGCAGCTTCAAACCATTTCTTTATTTATAGCACTGTGCATGGCTTTGCTAGTCATCTCTTCACATTCAAGCATGCTTATCTGTGTGTGGGTGGATTGGTCTGTCTTCCACCCCCACCAAATAGTGAGGTGAGTGCAATTCTTTGTGGTTATAAAACCCTTTGAGTCTAAACCACAGAAAGTGCTTATCACCATATAAATACATAAAGGTATGTAGAATTTCCTAATAGTGTCCACTGCTTTTATTCTTATTTTTAGAACCTTTTAAACCATGGATCGGTATGGAAACCTTTTTGACGATGAAGATGTGGATCACTCCTTTTTTGATAGCGATAATGATGAGAAGGGAGACAAAGAGGCTGTTGTGTCTTCACACCCAAGCAAGCAAGAGGATGCAAAACCTAATGTGGGTTTAGTAGCTGAATTAAAAGGCAGTGCTGGAGATAGAGAACAATATACAAGTAAGGAAGAAAGTAATGGAAAAGAAACACAATTTAAAAAGGAGTATGAGGTTGCAAAATCCCGGTCTTCTAGTAGGCCTGGCAGTCCAGTCAAGTCTGGAAGGAGCTCTGTACAGAGCCTGAGAATTGAAACAACCATTCCCACGGGGATTCCCAAAATTAGACATGAATTTGAGGACAATTACTACCCAGATGAAGATGACAGTAGTGAGGAAGAAGAGCACAACCCCAGACCCAAATCCTCAAAACAAACCTTTGTTGGAAAGAAAAGTACAGGTAAATATAACCGAGAAGCAGTGTCCTCGTCCATTTCCAGTTCAGATGCAGAATATTCAGACACTGGGTCAGATGGGCGCATTTCTAAATCATCATATCAATCAGCCAAAGGAAATGGACATTTTGCTGAGAACAAGACTCCTAAACAGCCAGTCAGAGATCTAAGGGACTATGCGGATGAGTCGGAAGATACAGTCACTGATGTAACTCCCCTGTCCACACCGGACATTAGTCCTATCCAGTCATTCGATCTGGCAGCTACAAGTGGAGCACTGAAAAATAAAATGCAACGCCAAGAAAATGTCAACCAAGATCAATATGGTAATTTTAATGTTTTGTGCTTTTTATTGAAACTGATCAGAGTCAGTAGATTTAATTGACACCTACAGTACTGTGCAAAAGTCTTAGGCCACCATTAGATTTGTTGTTTTAGCAATGGTATAATGACCATATATAATTATTCCTCGGTCTCTTTATTAGAACGCAACCAGAAAATACAGAAAATGGGTATGCAAGACAAAATCTGATGATAAGTGTCTGTTTCTTCTTTGAGAGACTGGAAGAAGTGCACCTGGCTCTGCATCTGGCCATTGATCAGGAATGGTCTTTGTGGAATGGTATACATGCCAATATTTGCATATCTTCGCCTTGTCACCTTGTTCCCCTTCTGAAAATACAAGTGGTTTCTTGGCTGCTACCCTTTTGCAAAGACCATTCTTGATTAAACTATTCGGACTGTAGACTGGTCAACTTGGCAGATGCCGAGCCAGGTTCTTGCTAGACTTCTGATCTTTCCAATCACACACAGCATCATGTCAGTGTGACTTATGCTTCTCATTAGAGAAGAATTTGATTCTCATGTAAAAACCTAGGAGCATTGGATCGGTTCAAAGTTAAATCATACTTGATCTCACAGTGGAAGGATTGGCTGCAGAGCAGAGTCTGTTTCAGCACAGGATTATGGGTGCAACCCTAGGGGGATTCTGCATTGTTGGCTTTTTTTTTTAATTTTATTTTTATGGTAACTGAATTGAGCTGTGTATTTGTTATTTTCAAATGGATCTCAATGAGATTAATTTAAAAATAGCTAAATAAATAAAATGGAACCGAATAGCAGCTAATTTGTAAATTAATTTCCCTGCTACGAGAAGGAGGAGAAGAAGGGAAAAATAAATAAATAAAAAGATACCCTTAATGTAAGAATCAGGTTCGGGGATATCTTTAGTGTTTACAGAGATTTAGGGTGGCATTGGTCTAACTTAGGAATTAGGAGGCTTTAGAGTTTTGGCTGCAAATATCCTGGTCTGTATCAGGGCAATTGGAACAGCTGAGTAAACAAAATTAAGCTGCTATATTGTATTCTGCTAAATTCAGAACACAAACTGCAGCTGGACAGAATTGTTTATTTAGAAAATTGGGCAGATTAGATGGGCCGAATGGTTCTTATCTGCCATCATATTCATTTGTTTCTATATTGTAAATTCTGTTGAAATAACCAAATTTGCCTTTTGCAAATCCTCAATTTGGTTTAAATATCACCATTTTGACAACTAAACTCCATTTAGCTGTAGTTTGTTTCCTATTCAGCATATAGTGAATAGACCACTTTGTCTTAATTTTTAGTTTTTCCTTCGTAGCTCAATTTAACCCCTTAAAACCTGTACATGGGGGGTACTGTTTTACTCGAACGACTTCGCTGAACAAAAATATTAGTGTTTAAAAAACAATAAAATGTACTACAACGATATTTTTTCACACACAAATGGCACTTACACGGACGATATAATTGTTGTGATACGTTTTATTGTTTTGAAACACTAATATTTGTGTTCAGTGAAGTCTCCTGAGTATAACCGTACCCCTCATGTACAGGTTTTATGGTGTTTTCAAAAGTTACAGAGTCAAATATAAGGCTTGCGTTTTAGTTTTTTCACATTGAAATTCGCCAGGTTTGTTACGTTGCCTTTGAGACCGTATGGTAGCCCAGGAATGAAAATTACCCCCATGATGGCATACCACTTGCAATCGTAGACAACCCAAGGTATTGTAAATGGGGTATGTCCAGTCTTTTTTAGTAGCCACTTGGTCACAAACACTGGACAAAATTGCATTTTTCACACACAAATATTAACACTAATATTGGCCAGTCTTTGTGACCAAGTGGCTACTAAAAAAGACTGGACATACCCCATTTGTAATACCTTGGGTTGTCTATGTTGCAAATGGTATACCATCATGGGGGTAATTCTCATTCCTGGGCTACCATACGCTCTCAAAGGCAACGTAACCAATCTGGCGAATTTCAATGTAAAAAAACTGAAAAATGTAATATGCTATATTTGACCTTGTAACTTCCCAAAACACCACCATAAAACCTGTACATAGGGGGTACTGTTTTACACGTGAAACATTGCTGAATACAAAAATGTGCATTTTATTGCAGTAAAAGCAAACCGTATTATGACATTCAGTTAAAATGTCACATAGAACTAGAAATGTTGTTAAAATTCTTATTTTCTCCTATTTTTTTAATATTTTATTCATATTAAATTGTTTCATACCTAAATATTTGATGTTAGATGAAAGCCATGTTTCCCATGAATAAAATGATATATAATAAGTGTGGGTATGAAAGAGGCGAATTACGCCTGAACAGACATATAGGGCAAATTCAAGTTTTTGTTTACGTTTTGACCACAACGTGTACATTTGGCTCAGTCCTTAAGGGGTTAATATTCTTGTGGCTATTTATTGAGACCCCTGATCTTTCTGGAACCACAAGATGAAGGGGAAAAATGACTGTTTACTTTATATTTGTTTTTGTTTTTTAAATTAATTTTTTATAGTATATAGATTATGCATTAAAAAAAAAAATATATAAATGAAAGGGACAATTGGCATTTTAAAATATTTCTTTTGCTTCTAGATTTCCACAGCAAGGAAGAAACTCTGCCCATCGCAAAGCTATCTTTCTTGTATATGGGGTTTGATTTCATCCGACAAACTGCTGTCAAGCAGAGTTTGTGGGATAAGTAGTTTTATCCCCAAAAGCAGTTCCACTGGATGAGTAGAAGAGTTTTAAAAACTGATGGCTGCTATCATTTTACATATAGAGGTGTGTTCAGTTATCAGTAGAGAGAGATGAGTTCATACATGTGCAACAGCATGGAACTGAAAGTTGCACCTGCCTAATTGACCCCTCAAGGGGGCTGTATTAAAGCTACAGCAGTTTTTTGTTTTTTTTTTAATTACATTTTTTATTTTTACAAATTACTGCAGTTATAAGCTGCCACCAGAACTGAGAGTAGATTTAGGGTACTCTCTTCTCCATAAACTTTGCAATAATGCAAAATAGTTTATAATGATTATCTCTGCTAATTTGGTCTTTTTCCTTTTTTTTTTTTTTTTAAACATGATTGGCATTCCAGTGTTTATAGGAACTTTGGCTAGGTTAGTGGCACGTCTCTTCTGTACTTTTATCACAATTCAAAGATGAATGATGATGAAAATAACCCTTATTATCTCTGGGGTAGTGTACCAATTATTGAGCCATAAATGTTTTTCAGTTTCTGATTTATCTCTGCTTTCTTGTCAGACCCTGATATGGATCAAAAGACTAATGCCAAGGTATTGCAAGATGCTATGGACCTAAACCAACTTCTTAAAGGTATAAAATACCTCTTCTGTTTTTTATTTTGTTTTGTTTACTTATTTTCCCCTCTTCAATGTAAACTATGAATATATTGCAGATAAGTGATTTTACTCTTGTTTCATGCCCCCAAACAACAACAAAATCTTCCAACTGTTTAATATCTACCAAAAGGTTGACTTTTCAGTATCTAGAGTTGATCATACGTGTAAAAACTACTGAAGAATCAAGTAAATACCACCACCAGGAGGCGGCTGGCTGTGGGGGAATGGGGCAAGAGAGGGAGCTGTACTCTCGTGATCTTCCAGCACTGCTCCCTCAAGCGCCCTGTGGAGATACCAGGAGCTGGATTATGATGTGGTCCCAGCATCACTAAACTGCATGTGAGGGAGCTGTGCTGGAAGAGCATGAAGTTTACACAAGTCCCACAGTGGACCCCAGGTAAAGGATTCACTCCAGCTCTCCCAAAGGTAGGGAGGCAGGGTGGACTTCAATGAAAATAAGTAAAATAAATAAATAAAATAATAGTTTGAGAATATGTGTGTCAAATCAGTGTCTGTCAGTGAGAGTGTGTCTGTCAATGAGTGTGACTCAGTTTCCTTTGTGTAAATGCATTGTGTTCGTTTCCTCTGTGTGTAAATGTGTCAGCATTCTGTGTGTAAATGCAGTGTCTGTCGGTGAGCGTTTCCTCTGTGTGTGTGTGTGTGTGTGTGTGTGTGTCACTGTCCTCTGTGGGGTTTTTTTAATGTGTCAGTATCTGTGTCCTGTGTGTAAAAGTGTCAGTGAGTATCAGTTTCCTTTGTGTATAAGTGTATTCATATTTTCATTATGTCACTTTTATACTTCAGATTAATAGTTTATACACTCATCCTTACATACACAATATTCACATTATGTCATAATTATTAAAAAAAAACTATTCTTTACTAGCTTTAATTAGGGTTGTTCTCCAGTATGGTATGAACTTATAAGTGTAAGTATGTGTCCACACATTTCATTTGGAATTTAAATCCATAGAAATTACTTTTTTTCTCTGTAAAATGTTGAGAAACACTGGTGTAAGGAGTCCACAGCAACACATTATTATATTACAAGTAATATATGTGAAATATGAACATTTGGGGTATGCATACCATGGGTTGGAAAACTAAGCCTTACACCAGTGATGGCGAACCTTTTTGAGCCCGAGTGCCCAAACCGCAATACGTGCCAACTCAAAGTGCCAGCACAGTAATTAAACCCGAATACTGAGGTTTAAGTTTAGAAAAAAAACAACTCATACAGTTGTCCAAACTAATTCTCCTCTTCTGTCCCCCCAGCTTCTTCCCTTCTCTACCCACAACATATGCCCCTCTCCCCCTGCATCTCTTCCTCCTCTCCCCTTCTCCCCCAGCATCTCTTCCTCTTCCTCTTCTCCCCTTTTCCCCAGCATCTCTTCCTCCTCCTCCTCTCCCCTTCTCCAACAGCATCTCTTCCTCCTCCTCCTTCTCTCCCCTTCTCCCCCAGCATCTCTTCCTCTCCCCTTCTCCCCAGCATCTCTTCCTCCTCCTCCTCCTCCCTCTCCTCTCCCTTTTCTCCCCAGCATTTCTTCCTCCTCCTCCTCCTCTCCCCTTCACCCCCAGCATCTCCTCCTCCTCCTCTCCCCCTTCAGCATCTCTTTTCCTCCTCCTCTCCCCTTCTCCCCAGCATCTCTTCCTCCTCTCCCCTTCTCCCCAGCATCTCTTTCCTCTCCTCTTCTCCCCCAGCATCTCTTTCTCCTCCTCCTCTCCCTTCTCCTCCAGCATCTCTTCCCTCCTCCTCCTCCTCTCACCTTCTCCCCCAGCATCTCTTCCTTCCCCCTCCTCTCTCCCCTTCTTCCCCAGCATCTCTTCCTCCTCCTCCTCCTCCTCCTCTCCCCTTCTCCACCCAGCATCTTTTCCTCCTCCTCTCCCTCAGATTTGTCTCTTCACTACCCCAGCACATCCGCCTTCCTCCAGTATATCCTCCTCTTCACTACTCCAGCACATAATGTTTAATTTTTTTTGGTGAGGGTTTGAAGTCCACCCAGGCTCCCTACCTGATGGATCAGATTTCTGCCTGCTGCTGTGAGGGGGTGTGGGCACGAGGGAGCACTGACTTACCTGCTGTTCCAGCACTGCTCCCTCCACTGATGCCACCGGGAAGCAGGATGTGATGTCAAGAAGGTGGGCGGCGCCTGATTGACGTCATTTCCTGTCTCCCGGCGGCATTGCTGGAACAGCACGTAAGTCAGTGCTCCCTCGCAGCCCTCCATCCCACCCACCAGTGCTATCTTAACATTATGGGCCCCCGGGTAAAGCAGTGCACTGGGGCCCTGCCTACACACAACTCGCAGGAATAAAAACTTTAATTATAGATAAAATTAGGCTTAAATTTGTTAGTATCTCCAACAAATGCAATACATACACACCGACTGTTGAATACATACACCCACCGACACACACACACACAGACTACTGAGAACACACAATCTGCTGAATACATACACACACATACTGCATTGAGAAGTGCAGTGTATGTTTTTGTTTGTGTGTGTGTGTGGAGCGGTGCTGTGTGTGGGTGTGTTGGACTGATTAGGGACATCCTCTGGTTCCTCTGTCAACCAATCCATGACAATTCAAAGTGCTCCGCCTGTCAGTGCACTGCATTATTTCTAAGCAGTTGGACAGTGACAAGTTGTCATGTGGATTTAGATTGCCCTACGCTACCTGGTACATAATTTAATTACTTTTAGAGTTAAATGATCTGAATTGCCATTTTAAAGTTGAACCCTTTTCTATTTTGAAGCATTTATGCATCTGGATAAAACAGACCAACAGAGTCTGGTAGTAGAGCAACCACCAGTGAGGCACAAGAAAAACTACTCCTTTAACAGTGAGGAGGTGCGGCATATTGACCGGGAAAACCAAAGGTTGCTGAAAGAGCTCTCCAAACAGGCTTCAAAACCCCGCAGTAAGATCCTTACCATGAAAAAACCCAACGGAGTTCCTGTCCGACTCTATCACAGTGCTCTTAATAGGCAAAGGGAGCAGCAACGGATCGAAAGGGAGAACCTAGTAAGTAAACACAGCATTTCCACATGTAAGAGATTCCAATTCAATACATTATAAACATCTAATTTCCTAAACTTTTTAACGCATACGTTTATCCACTAATCCGTAAATTATGGCACATAGGGAACACAATCTAGACAAAGTAACTTTATGGAAAAAGTCAACTACTTTTCAGATTTTAATTTACATGTCTTTGCAATTCAACTTTCAAATCACTATTTAGTGAATAAAGCCTTAATGCCTCTCAGATTATTGAAATTAAATGAACTAAAACAATTCTCTCCCTTACGCTGTAAGTATGTTAAAGTACCACTATAGGCACCCAGATCACTTCAGTTTAATGAAGTGGTCTGGGTGCCAGGTCCATCTAGGTTTAACCCTTTCTGCTGTAAACATAGCAGTTTCAGAGAAGCTGCTATGTTTACATCTGATGATTTTGTCTTTCGGCATTGTGACTAGCTTTTGTGTTTTCTTTCCTTTCTTTTCTGTATGTTTACAATAGGGTTAATCCAGCCTCTAGCGGCTGTCTCATTGACAGCCGCTAGTGGCGCATCTGCACTTCTCATTGTGATTGAGAATGCTTTCCTATGGACTGACTGCACACATGCGATTTCGGCAGAAGCGGGAGGAGAGTCCCCAGCGCCAAGGGAGCCCGGCGCTGGTGAAAGGTAAGCCTTTAACCTCTTCCTCCCCCTAGAGCCCGGCGGGAGGGGGGCCATGAGGGTGGGGGGGGACCTATTAACACTATAGTGCCAGGAAAACTAATTTGTTTTCCTGGCACTATAGTGGTCCTTTAATCAACTAATTATTTATTTGACTTGCTGCAGCAGCACAGTGCCTGAATAAAAATGAGGCCAATGTGCATATTCCATTTCACATTTTCTACTCACTAATCATACAAAATCCATAGACTCAAATGTTAAAGGAACACTATAGGCACCCAGACCACGTCATCTTAGTGAAGTTTTCTGGGTGCAGTGTCCCTGTTCCCCTAAAACTGCAATGTTTACGTTCAGTGTTAAGGCTGTGTTTGACTCCATGAAACAATGGTGGACGTCCTCATGCAACATCCAGTGTCATGCAAAACTTCAAAGGAAAACAATGAGTTAATTCTTTCCTGTGGGGAAGACCACATTCACATTAGGTTCTCCCTATCGGATAAATCAGGTAAGTAATGGAATGGCTTGTTTCGTTTTTTTATTTTATTTTATAACCTTTTCATGGGCTTTAAGGGGCACTTTTGTGTTAGGAATACAACATTGTATTCTGAACTCTAACGTGTTCCTTTAATGCAGTGTTTCCCAAACCAATCCTGAAAATCCACCAACAGTCCAGGTTTTGGTAGTATCTCCATTGGAATAAAACTGGGGGATACCTAAATCCTGCACGGTTGGTGGGCCATGTGGACTGATTTTGGAACCACTGTTTTTTATTGGATTTCAAGCTCAAATCCCTTGACTACATTTGGGTTTTTTAATGTGGTGTTATGATTTGGGAGAACATCTGATGGAGTCAGGTGACACTGTATTTATGGCATAAGTTCAGGCTTTGTTACGTAATGTAAACCTTTTGATGACTCTTATTATAATTATTATTGGCATTTGTGTAGTGCCAACTTATTCCACAGCACATTGCAACAGTTTCTGGTCTGGACAACCGGAAGTTAAAGAGTTGTTTTGTTTGTTTTCTTTTTTTTTTTTGTTTTTGTTGTTGTTATTATATAATGCATTAAATATTAGTGATTTTACAGGCTATCCCATTTACACAGTGGAGCTCTCCTGATGTTGGTTTCCCCTTGTGGGACTCTACACATCACCTACTCCTATTACCATTTACATACGTTGTACTTATTTTGCTAGAAATAATTCTTAATCATACTGTAATAGATCCTGATGTGGCCATTATTAAACCGCATTCACAGCCGTAGGTTACTGGCCATCCTGTAATGCTGGTAGCTGAGTTCACCTATTGCCGTTCCCAATAATGGATCACTAACCAACTTGCACATATTTCTGTTGATATCACTTGTGCTGTTCTCACAATGGCAGTCCAATCCTCTGGGCCGATTCCATACTCTTCTAGTTCTTCTTTTGCCTCACTTATTGTGCGTTTTACTTAAACGAACACTTTATTCTGCTTATTAAATGATATGCTATATAATTTCTGCTGGGGTTTTAATGCAGGTTTGTTTTCCAATAATTATAAATTCATGCAGTAATGCATTCTCCCAAAGGGTTAATGAAAAACAGTAGCTGTGAGTCACTTTCCACCCACTCGCACCTCCTACCCTGTCATACCCACGCTTTGCTGCCATCCCTCTGCCTGGTATTCATACGGCAGTGACAGCAGACTGCATGCCTATTTAACTCTTCCCAACCTCATGTTTGCCAGTTTAATAATCCTAGACCTCATTTATCAATAACGTTTGACTGTACTACAACAAGGTTTAATTTGTAAGTACATTTTTACCATGGGCATAAATGTTTCAGTACATACCTTTTGCAAACGTGGTGTTACCATGGTAGTATGTCTTTAAGGATGTACACAATTTAATTAGCTTAAACACATTATTTCTCTACATTATGTGCTCTGTTAATACTTATTTGTATTCTTAAGTAGGGTTAACAGTTTAGAGCAGTGACAGCTTCACCGTCTTAGAATCAGGAACTCCAGGTTCAAATCACGGTCACTTTGACATGGCTAACGAATGCTGCATTAGAAGTATTCTGAATGTCATCCCAAATCTTACCAGTTGAGGGCAGTAGCCTAGCACAATTATCTTCCTGTCAGTGATCTTGACAAGATCAAGATGATCTTGATGGCACTTTCACATAAAGTTCTTGGCAAGATAGGAAGTCTTCTGAAAGCTTTGAACATGAGTTTGATTACAGCAGTATTACTGATATTTGACCCATCTGTTTCTTTGTAACTGTGATGGCCATAAGGCATTTATTTGTCAAGTACATTTCCTATAACTAGCTGAACTTGGTGCTAAATTTACTTTTTTACAATATGTTCAATGAGATTTATGAATAAATAGCAGTTTTAAGGGAAAAATTGTAATTTGTAGGAACATTGTTTTGACTAATCATGCAAAAAAAATATATTTTTATTAAAGGATAGTGATCATATGAAGTTGTTTTGCTCCCTTTTTAAATCATAATGATAACAGAAATCACCCAAATGGCCCTGATCCAAAGTTTAGATACCCTTGAATGTTTGGCCTTGTTAAAAAACACACAAGGTCACACACATGTTAAAATGGCAATTAAAGGTTAATTTCCCACACCTGTGGATTTTAAATTGCAATTAGTGTCTGTGTATAAATAGTCAATGAGTTTGTTACCGCTCACATGGATGCACTGAGCAGGCTAGATACTGAGCCATGGAGAGCAGAAGAGAAATGTCAAAAGACCTGCGTAGCAAGGTAATGGAACTTTAAAAAGATGGAAAAGGATATAAAAAGATATCCAAAGGCTTGAAAATGACAGTCAGTACTGTTGATTCATTTATTAAGTGGATAATTTGGGGATCTCTTGATACGATGCCATGGTCAGGTAGACTAAGAATGATTTCAGCCACAACTGCCAGAAGAATTGTTTGGGATACAAAGAAAAACCCCACGGGTAACCTCAGGAAAAACACAGGCTGCTCTGGAAAAAGATAGAGTGGTTGTTTCAAGGAGCACAATACAACGATGCTTGAACAAAAATGAGCTGACAGAAGCCTTTTTGCACCAGTGCCACAAAAAAACTTTGTTATAATGTGCCCCACAACACCTTGACACTCCTCACAGCTTCTGGCACACTGTAATTTCGAGTGACGAGACCAAAATAGAGCTTTATGGTCACAACCATAAGCGCTGTGTTTGTAGAGAGGTCAACAAGTCCAGGTGCTAAACATAAAGGCCTATAGTGAAAAGAATACCATTCCCATTGTGAAGTATGGTGGTGGTTCATGCAAGATGACGAAAAACTTTGCCTTACCTGGAGGAATTTTGCCAAGACGAAGTGGCAAGAATTAGGGGCCTCATAGACGGCTATTACAAAAGAAGTGCTGTCATTGATGCTAAAGGGCACACTACACAGTATTAAGAACGAAGGGTGTTATGGACCGTTTTTCACACAAGGGGTAAAAACAGTTTAGGCGATCGTCCCACTTTCCAGAGATGCAGGCACAGCTATTGTAGAACACCAAACTCACAAACCGCCAATAAGTGAATGCTCCAAACTCCCGAACGGCATCCAATATAGCACTCCAAACACACGAACTGGAACCATACGAATCACTGCTAGCAAACGAATAGGAAAAGCACCCAAGCGGCTTACACTCCTAGCAATCAGTCTCTATCAGCATTCAGTAAATCCCCCCCAAAGACGAGACAAGGCTCGTTGAGGGTCAAGCAGTGGTATGTTTAATGAGGGCTACCTGCCCAGTATTTATGCAGGTCTCCCACCTGGTGTACACTCCCCTAGGGGACCAAATGGGAGACTGTGACAAGGGACAGACAAGTAGACAAATAGGACACACAGTCACATTATATTCCCACAATGCATCCTGGCTTCCTCCCCTCTGCCTTGGAGATAATTGAGAAGTAATTGAATTATCTCCCAAGACAAAGGCAAATCGCCATTATGCACGTGGGGATACTAACACACGAATTACTATTAAAATACCCTATGTGAGAGACATAACATTAAAACTATATACATTTAACATATCCCCAGATAGCTCAGGTCTGAGCGCACATTATTAAGCGAATGGCGCTCAGACCACACAAATACAGTTTAATCGCCATGGAGCTAAAGTCTTTACACAGTCAGTTTCATGCCAATGGGCTCCATGGGATTCCTATCTGGGGTATAACACATTCAAGCAAAACTACCGAACACCGGGCCGTTCGTGCACTTTCACCGAACAAGAAGGGAGATCGGTGGCTTCAGCGGTGTTCGTGCAAAACTAGTGTCCGATTTCAGTTCCATGAATTAAGCGTTGAACACCGCTGTGAATTCGCATGTTTAAAATGGCCGCGACCTTGTGTTCATGATACGAATGGCGGCCACCCAGCATTCATCAATTAAGCTGCGGTTAACCACAGCTTCAGGGAGGTTAATTGCCGGCACACTCCAGCTCCCAGGTGATCCAGTCATTCGTGCGGTTGTTCGGTAGATTGAATCTACCGAACACCAGGCAGAAAAGCATGAATAAAGCTTCTCTGCAGGCAAAACAAAGTCTTTTAACATGGGGGCCATAGTCCAAAGGCAGCAGGCGAGCAAAAAAGGCTTCTCCAATGCAATGTGGCGAGATTGCTCTCGTCACAAAGGGTATGCAGACTTTTGAACAGGTGTCATTTCATTTTATTCTTTGCTGCCATGTTTTGTTTTATGATTGTGCCATTCTCTTATAACCTACAGTTGAATATGAATCCCATAAGAAATAAAAGAAATGTGTTTTGCCTGCTCACTCATATTTTCTTTTAAAAAAATGGTACATATATTACCAATTCTCTAAGGGTATGCAAACTTTTGAGCACAACTGTAAATGCAAAGATATGCTCTTTTGGTAAGATATGTACAAGCAACTTGCACCCTACATGGTAGTGAGTTAGGGAAATTAAAACTGTTTAGCGTGGAAAAGCAGCGCCTCAGATAATATAATAAATATCTGAACAGTAACTTGGCAAAAAGCTTTAATATAGCTTTTTGCCAAGTTACTGTTCAGATTTTTATTATATTATCTGAAGCGCTGCTTTTCCACGGTGTCTATATCTAAATACATAATAAACCTACGCAGAGAATGTACGACATGTAGGGTAACTTTTCCCTATACGATTAAGTGGAACAACTTTTTTCATATACCACAAATATGAATATAAAATTGGAGGTTTATTAACCTGTAATATATCCAATATTTATTTTACTTCGGTGCGGTTTTGGACTCCAAATGATGGTACGACCTCTAGAGCACTAAATATCAGAATTGTGAAACAGGTTCACAACATATGCAAAAAGTTTTTAAAACTGCATATTTGCCCATTTTGCTGAAGCCCAGCAGGGAGACCCATTGATTCTCTCCTTTGTGGCCATGTCCAAAAAGAAGAAAAAGCAAGAGAAGGCGATCAGTTTTGTGATTTTATGTAGGATACAAACTTAATGGCTTTTTAAATTTAAAGGGACACTGTAGTCAGCAGAACAGTTTAATGTAATTAATCTGGTGTCTATATCTTGTCCCTGTAGACTTTTTAATCTAATACAAAAAGATAAGTCCTGCGCTCACTCCCATCACTCCTGGGCTGGCAGCAACGACCACAGTACACATAAGACCCAATATATAGTAAAAACAAAAGAAAAAAAGGTTACCTACGCTCTCTCCTTAATCCCTATGTATATTTAAACAAATGGAGGTAATTTAGTTACTCCAATGGCCATGTTAAGGGTTAATAAGTATATAGGGGTGTGTATATAAAAATACCCATCTCCGTCTCATTAGAGATATCTTTGCCAGAAGCTCAAGGAAGCAAGGTGAAGGGTCAGTGTAGGACCCGCTTTGGGGGGTCTGCCTTGACGTTGGCAGGCGGGCATTCCTTCCAATGGCCATTGGAGTAACTAAATGACCTCCATTTGTCTAAATATACATAGGGATTAAGGAGAGAGTGCAGGTAACTTTTTTTTTTTTTTTTTTTATCTAAATACAGAGAATTGGCAGTGTTTACATTATAGCGTAGGGACACCTCCAGTGGCCACTCCTCAGACAGCCTCTAGAGGTGTTTGTTAGGTCAGTGCTTCACTGCGTCTCCAAGAAATTTCCCCGTAGAGAAACCATGATTCAGTGGGTTAGTGCTGCAGAAGGGAAAACAGTAACATGTTCTTATCAACTACAACTTTTTTAGTATTCACTGTATTCTTTATTGTGGGATTGTCTACCTAGCACTGTGCGCACTTTAATGTTTGTGTACAGTGCAAACCATTGTCTGCAGATTTATTCATTAATAAGATTATACATAGGACACAACTGTCCCCGTCCGTAGCCCACCCCCTTTGTCACACCTTGCCACCAGCCTTGGCAGGAAGTGGAGTCTTAGGGAAGGGACAGCAGCTTGGTCCACACTACCAAGTAAGGCAGGCCTGAGAGAGGTTTCAGGCACTCTGTCCGCCCCTAAGAATGCGGTGCCACCTGCTCCCAATAGCAGCCTTGCCACTTACTCATGGCAAAACTAAAGGAAGAGAAAAACTTGCCGTCCAGGCGCCCAGAACTATATGTCCCAGACTTCAGCCGATAGGAATTCTTTATCCCTGGGCATATTATTTTTAAAATGTGAGAGAATGTTTGTTGCAAAATTTAATTTTTCAGTTCTTGTAACTGTCATTGTTTCCATGGGGATCATTTTTATTTATTTATATATAACATCTAAGATCCTGTGGGACTTTCAGATCCAGACAGACATGTAAGTACTAGCCAATATATTCACAGCCCCGAGTGCTCCTATCACAACAGGGGCTACTACTGCCTTCACTTTCCATATTCTTTCTAGCTCCTCATTCAGTCCTTGCTATTTGACCATCTTCTCATATTCCTTATTCCTGATGCTATAGTAACTGGGTTTTGTCACATCCACCACTACTGCAGTCTCATTCCATGTCTTACACTAAAATGTCAAGTTGGTTGGCTAGTACTTGCGTGTGTGTGTGTGTGTATGTGTGTATATGTATGTATGTATGTGTGTATATATATATATATATATATGTATGTATATGTATGTGTGTATATATATATATATTTATAATTCATTGGTTTAAAAAAAAAATAAAAAAATATTCCACCTCCCCTTCCCCCCTGTGTATTTATCCAGGTAAATCAGTGTCTCACTGAACATTGAACGGTTATGGGGAAACTTAAGTGTTGCAAATGAAAACCTTTATTCATAACAGTAGAGTGTATCAAACACCATTTAAATTAGGGCACCCCTTCCCCATGCCCTTACAAAAGTTAACTGAACTTTGTTCCAGCAGAATGTCACAGGTCAAGGAGATCATCACTGCTATGAGAAGCGCTGGAACACAGGACGCATCTATTTCATTCATCGTTCTGCTCCTGCAATGCTTCTAATATGAGAAGCCCTCACATCTGCTTTGTACTGAAGCAGAGCGCAGTAAGGAAGAGCACCATCCCAGCTGTCTGACTGCCTGGATTTATAGAATTGCTGACTTATCTTGAAATGAACATTTTTGACTTTCTTTTACCTCAAAAGTACTTCAACATGTTGGGATGTTTTAGGGGCTTAGGGTGTTCCTTTAAGTATTGATATCAATACTAACTTTATTAGAATGCATTTTTGGGTTATCGGTAGGAAATCTTGGACTGAGAGCAAGTTTGCTTTTTAATAAACAGGAAGAACACACACATATGCCTTAAAGTGCATAGGGCTCTATGAATGATGTGAATGACATTTAAGAAGGGCCAGTGACATAAATAGGTTTCAGCAGGTGTTATGGTGCAATAGTCAGCTGCCTGACATTACAGCTGTCTGAACAGGGTACAAGGAAGCAGTGAGACATGTGCACCTCTTAGGCTCTGTCTAGTGGAGCTGTGCAATTATACTGAACTACTTCAATGCCTAAATATAATAATAATAATAATAATAATAATACATAGTAAAGCAACAGGCAGCCGCTTAAGTAGAAAAGTGTATCAGTGGGACATGCTGTGCAAATGATTCCTGCTAGAAAGAAATGTGTGCAATCTGTTCCAAAATATTGATTAAGCTACCATTTATTTATTTTGATACATATTCTGTTTTAAACTAGTGCTGAGATTTTTAGATCATATGATTGCATTTTCAGTTTTCTGCCATGTATTTGGAGCCATCAACAAAAATTTCAACTGTGCTCCATTTTGTTTTCATTTGGTCTGTTTTGTGCAGTTCATGAAGACTAGATTAGATTTAAAAATGTGTACTTGCATTTTTTACTTCAAATATATATGTACTGCTTGTGAGAAGGAGCTTGCAGGTCAGTTCAGAAATGCACATGCTGCTGTATGGATGTGAACACGATTATCTGTCATTATTAGTGCAATGCATAGCCGTTCTGAATGTTAGTTTTATGGGAGACTATAGCTCTCCTATTGGTATCCGTGGTAGAACTATTATTAGGTGTGAGATCAGACGTGGAGATTTGTAGCAAATATGGGACTTTCCAGTGTGAGTGTATTATGTGTACATTTTCAATTCAACATGGAATAATGCCTCTTTAAAATCTTGATCCTGCCAAATTTCTCTTGAGTCTCCTGGAAGTGTTATCCTATAAGTTCCTCCATGACAAGTCTGACTAGAGTTGTACATTTGTAATTTCAGCCCGTCAGATAGAACATCATAGAACCTACAGTCAGTCATGTAGGAGTCATGATTAAGCAAACCATTTTAGGACTACATAGACCTTCACCACCACATTGGTATGGAAATGGCATCCATTTCTGTTTTCCTACTAAATAGACAATGAAAGGCAGATGTCTTCTCCTGTGTCATTAATGCCTGTACTTGGGACTTAGGATTTCAAGGAATTTGCTTTCTGAAGTTTGTTCTGCTCCACCAGTAGTATCAGATGAGATGTGATTTCAACTCATGCAATTCATATTTACAGATTTGCTGTATCTTTTCTCTTAGTCAGTCAGATTTAAGGAACACTATGACACAGAGAAGGTTTCACAATTCTCTGTATAATGTATGTCCCTGTAACCATAACTCATGTATAATATAGAATAACTTGACCAATTGTGGCACATTTCCTCGTAGCATGGTTTGAATGAAGGCTACACGCTGGCATTGCTTGTTCTAGAATTTCAGCATGGTCTATTTCTAGCTTTCTTCCTTGTACTATATTGTGCTTAGCAAAGTCTTTCCATTTGACCATGTACCAATTGGCTCCTGTGCAAGCTCATGTGACTCTTGTCATCTCTGCAAGACTTTTGCTGTTTGTTCTCTCTCTCTGTGTCTTTTGGTCTCTGTGTCTCCCATGTGAAGTTCAGCGACCTTTGAGATTGTCTCTCCTGATTTGGCTGATAATTTACTCAATGGCACAGAGCCACGTTATTTTAAATTCTAATATTTACACGAGTGGAAATCAAATTTGGATTTGTTTCATAATCACCAGCATTGATTAGTAACTAAAGGTGCTTTTAGTAACTTGTACTAGATTTGTCTCATCTGTCATATATGGTATGTGCAGTAAATTAGAATAGGTATAATTTGGGTTAGCAGATCTTGCAAGAAAGGCCATGTCAGCTGTGCTTTTAAACAAATGCAGAAGATGCCACACTGATGCCTGCTACAAGGTCTACTGGACCATGCACACTGTGTCTGTTACTTTGTAAGGGAGAATATTTTACATTTAAAAAAAATATATATATTTTATCATATTAGAATTTTTGTTACTACCTCCGTAGTTCACTATATAACAGAAGGAACCGTATCTAATTTCTGTTTGCATGGCATTGAATATTTTTTTGTTCTGGTGGTGTTAGATGAAGTGACCTAAATGTCTGACTTATTTTACCTAGTTGTTATTGTGCCCATACTTTGCTCTTTCCAATCTGCTTTGAGCTGGAGTGTTAAGAGTTCTGGGTAATAAGTGATCCCAGGTGACAGTGTTCCTAGATTTCAGTAGCATGCAGTTTCTATAACACTTAGATGATATCATATTATGACCCACGAGAAGTCCCCTGTTGCATGGTACTCGAGCTCCCTCTATCTCTACATCAATTAATAGTGGAAACAAAACCTCCAAATGCTGTCACAAAGGAAACCATGCTGAAGACCCAAATGCGGACTATGAAATAATTTGCTGTAAATCTACTAATGAAATCTGCTCGTGGTCCTCTGTAGAATGCAAACTTCATTAAAGACTGACTGATAGTTTGGCTGATTTCACACCATAAAGTATGGCTGCTTCCTAGTATTCTTTGTAACAGCACTGCATTCCTTGTAACTCCTTTGAAATGCAGATAAGGAAGCTTTGAGGAGGATTAAGGATTAATGTTATCTAGGTTAATGAGTTGATGAAACTTGTTGTGATTTGACACTATAGCTCTCTGCTGAAAAATAATTGCTGTAAATTGTTAATTTGTTTAATAATCCCATCGCAGTGCTTGTGGTGGTCTGGAAACAAGCAAACTTTTTTTAAAAATGATCTACATCTAAACAATATTTCATATTGTCAAAAACTGCATTTAAAGCGGGGATGTCAAACTCTGATTCCCCCACCCCAGAATTATTTAAATGAAGTAATCAGCCAGAGAATCATGCTGGACTTTGAGATGCCTATTCCGTAGAATCCATTTGTGGCTTTGTGTTTAAGGTTTATTAGAACAGTTCACATATATTTCACAGTTTTATGAGGGGGCTGTTTTTGTTGTTGTTTTTTTAAAAATCTTTTAGGTGTGCATTTGGCTGTGCAACCTGCATTTTTATCATCTACATATTATGTACACTTCACCCACATCCCCACATCTGCGCACAGGTGATCCGGACACTCTTTGGCAAAAAGTGGGCAGTCCGGGTCCCAATATGCAGTGTACTAATATTTGTAATCTTGAAGCTTTGTATTTTTGCCTTTCTGCATTCATGTTTTTCCTGTGTATTTCTGTTATTCCTATATTTGATGAAAAAACAAATAAAAATTGTCTGAGAAAGAAAATGTAAAAGAAGACAAAACTCTTGTGCTTGATATAGGGACTGTTAAAGTTACTGGGTTCTAATGTATAAGCCAAGCTAAACCATGTTTGATTTTAGAGTTCATTACCATAAACTGCACATGCGCTCAGTTTATTAATGCAGAGTCACTTTGTCATTTTTCACTTGTATGTACATAAACTAATGTTATTGCTCTCACTTTTGTGTAGGCCTTATTGAAAAGGTTGGAGTCTGTAAAGCCAACAGTTGGAATGACACGTAATGAGCAGCTGATGGATTACCAGCGCCAAGCAGGATACCTCAACGCAACAGCATTGTCTCCTAGGCCTGGGAAGGCCTCTGCTAGCCGCATAAGCGCCTCCTCCTCAACAGGCAAGATTGATGGGGTTTAAAAAAAAAAAAAAAAAAAATCTCCATGTTAAGTAGATTTCTAAAGTATTCATTGAAAACTCTTGGACTCTGAGAGTGTAGGGGTAAAAATTTTTGTTTTTGAAAATGGGCAGTTTTTGGGATGTATGGGCAGATTTTTAGAGTTGTACGTGCATATTGGCAAAGAGAGCGAGATGGCTGTCGCAAATAGTGAGTTATAGCAGGTTATTGTTTAAGGTCGATCAACTGCAAAGAGTAGCTGTCTCTGGAACTTCAAATATATAGATGGAAAGGTAACTTTCTGAAAATGTTTTATTCAGTGTAAAGATGCTTTCTGAAGTTGGCAACTCAGTGTATGTCCTTCTTTAACAATCTCAGTGAGGGACAGATGCGGGGAGATTTGCTAGAAGGTAGCAACAGATGCTGTAGTAGACGTCTAACTGGCAAGACTTGTGGATTAATCTTCAATGGCAAAGTCAAGCAAAATCAGCAAACTACAGAGTATCCTGCTAATTAGTCCATGGTAAGTGGTTTGAAAAAGCAGAAAATAAATTTAGCAGGCAAGTGTTGGCAACAAAGAAGATAATATAGCAACATTTTGTATCAAGCTCTGTTTGACACTGAACTTCATGCTTGGTGGCTTTTTAAAGCTTCCAGTAGATTAGCCAATCTGTAAGGGGAGAGTAGTCACAAACTGGGAGGAATGCTTCTTGGCATCTTGGCTTCTAATGGCACAGTTTTAGTGAAACATAGAATGTGACGGCAGATAAGAACCATTCGGCCCATCTAGTTTGCCCAATTTTCTAAATACTTTCAATAGTCTGTGGCCTTATTTTATAGTTGGGATAGCCTTATGCCTATGCCACGCATGCTTAAACTCCTTAAAGGACCACTATAGTGCCCTGAGGGTGCCCCCACCCTCAGGGACCCCCTCACGCCCGGCTCTGGGGAGAGGAAAGGGTTAAAACTTACCTTTTTTCCAGCTCTCCGCCTCCTCTCCTCCCCTTCGGCTGAATTGCATCTTTGCATGCAAACGCCTCTAGCGGCTGTCAATGAGACAGCCACTAGAGGATTTGGAGGCTGGATTAACCCTATTATAAACATAGCAGTTTCTCTGAAACTGCTATGTTTATTTAAAAAAGGGTTAATCCTAGAGGGACCTGGCACCCAGACCACTTCATTAAGCTGAAGTGGTCTGGGTGCCTAGAGTGGTCCTTTAATCCAAACAGGATTTCCTTATTTAGAGTGGATTATGCAGTAAGGTAACATCGTAACTATGCAGACAAGGATATACACAACTGAAATTTTTCAAGAAACATTTTCCAGTACGTTGTCTATATACTTTGCCACGAAGGTTCAGCTCCACCTTCACCATAGCAAATAGCAATTTTAATCCATAAAACAAATTGACCTTTTATTCAGCCAAAAAATAATATTGACTGTATTTTGGCAAGCATGTTAATTCCCCAATTTGGGCATAAACGGTGAAGGCAGTCCAATAAATGGTGATATTTACATAATAAATGCTTCTTACACATAAATAAAATTCAGCTGACACAATTATAGCAAACATTGCATGGAGATATGTCACCCATAGAATCTGCAAAAGTTGCGCTTTGTCCATTAAATGGTGATATGTACATTAATGCTTATTAAAAACTAAAACTGAATCTTGATCTGCTGGAATATGTCCAAAGCACACCTGAGAATCAAATATCCCAATTCAGTAGACTCAAATGGTAAACATTACATGGAGAAATGTCAGTTATAGATTTTCCAAAAGGGGCACTTTGCCCAATAAATGGTGACATACATTAATGCTTCTTAAAGGGAAATTATTGTGCCAGGAAAACCCTTCTGTCACTTACCTGGTTCCAACACTTATGTCCCTCGACACTGGTTCAGGCTCCGCCTCCAACATAAGCCTCTCTCATTAGTATTTCCTCCATAGGAAAGCATTGTATAGTGTGAGGACGTCCAGTGTCAGTTTGGCGACCAAAAGTTGCCTAACAACTCGGAAGTCCCTCTAGTAGCAGTTTGGCATACAGCCACTAGAAGTGGAGATGACCCTCAAAGGTAATTATTGCAGTTTTAAAAAAAATTGCAATAATTACCTTTGCAGGGTTAAGGGACCTAGGACTATGCAACCAGACCACTTAAATTAGCTGAAGTGGCCTGTGTGCTTATAGTGTCCCTTTAAACATACAAACACAATCTCACTGATTTTGAAGCACCACCTGTGACAGCCATTGACCTGCTCTTCGCAGTGCCCACCATGTTCTGGCAGGTGTAGCGAGGAGCCATGTGCAGATCCATACCCTCTGTGCCGCTTACCGGGAATAGTGGGTGCTACTAGCCCCTTGCACACAATCAAAAATATCTCAATGTGCAGTGTTTAAAGCAAAAACGCTGCTCATACTTACTCCTACCACCATGATCACTACAAATCAATGAAGTGATCATGGTGGTTGGAGCAAGTCTTTAATCAGAGGCATTCTGAATAGTTAACTGAGGATTTGGCACAGTTACAGAGAGAACATATAAAAAAAAATGGAGGGCTTTTTATAAAATGCTAGAGAATAATTAGGGAGGAGCATGAAAAATTGAGGTGTCAGTTGAAGAGTGTGAGAAATCATTGGTAAAAGGGGTGTGGGGGGCATGCAAAAAAGATGCAGTAAGTAAATTAATTGAGTGCATGGGATGTACATAAGTGGGTGAAATCTGCAGAATTCAAGTAGCCGTGGGAGGAAAAGGGATAACTCAATTGGGAAAAGGTGAAGAATACAGCCAAGGGAGGACAAGAGAACAGAGTAATGTAGAGAGATTTAGCTGATTGTTGGAAAACAGATGACCAGGTAACCTTAGATTGGGAACTACTGACTTAGAGCATCAACTACTTCAAGTGTTAATCCAAGCAACATGCCCACATCAGTGTTTTGAAGTGGTCATGGTGCTTGGAGTCTGTATGTGCAGAGTTTTATCAATAAAAGACTTCCTTCAGCCTCTACAGAGAGGGGTAGCGATGTCTGCTGGGAGAACTTTGTTTTGGTGTGGTATCTAACCTGCCATTTAGTTTTATTTAATTTTTAATTTTGGAAACCGGAAACATGCCGGTAAGGGTTACTCTAATCAAAACAGTCTTTTGATTACTCTAATCAAAACAGTAAAGTAGCCCTTAAAAGGAACACTCTGGGGCTAGTAATATGAACATGTGATTCTAAACCTATAGTGCTTGACAACATGTTTAGATTACTGCCACCCTCCCCAGAATGAAGCAAAAAAAGTACTTTACTCACCTCCCACACCCCCTTCCACGGCGTTCTCTCGCGGCCAAATTGCCTTCTTGGCAATCCGATGCTTTCCCATAGACCATCTGATTCAGATTGCACCGTTTTCTCTGTTTTGTCACTAGAGGCATTTTAAGTCTGTAATGTAAACATTGCCATTTCTACAGTTCAGTGTTTTCAGTTCTGGCATTAAAACGACAGGGACATACCACCCAGATCACTTTCTTTTAACTAAGTGGTCTGTATGCCTATAGTGTCCCTTTAAGCACATTTAGCAACTGGACAATGTGTGTTTAGTGAAATATAGCACCATGACATTCATAGTGGAATGTAGTAACATCAATAATTTCTCTATTAACCCCTTAAGGACACATGACATGTGTGACATGTCATGATTCTTTTTTATTCCAGAAGTTTGGTCCTTAAGGAGTTAAACATGTAGAATAAATAAGGCATTTTTCACTTGCACTCAATATTTCCATCATTTCTATGGTCACAATATAATGATGATAAGGTTTTAAATGAAGATGGCAAATATCCTTTGATTCTGATAGAATCTTTATGAAATTCTCACTTTGACTGTGTTGGGACTTACTAGTTAGTCTCTTTATTTCCCCTCCGCTGAGTGACAGTCAATCCCGACCTCCAGTTGTGGCTGAAGGGAATTGGCTATGGCCATGGCAGATCACCTAACTCACCTTGAGGTCACCATCGTGGATATTTACGAATTTAGCAAAGTCCCCAGGTGGTAACAGCGCCACTTTAATGAATTTAGATGCAATTTATTATTTCTTTCAGGTCCGTACCTTATAATAGAATTAACTCTACATTTCTCTTTCTTTATCAGGTAGTTTTTCACGGGTGTCAAGTGGATGCAGGAGCAGTGATGGGACCAATTCCAGTGCTGCCATGTTGAGACCTGCAAAATCCAATAATGTTCGAACTGCATGGCAGTGATTATCCAAATGCAACCTCTTTGAACATCCTCCTATTATTTCAAGTCATTTTGTAAATAAATATAAGACCTTATTTGCTGCTAATGTGAAAATCTTGATACATAATATACAATTGGTGTGTGGGGTATTTATTTTCTATGTATGTGATTTTTAAAAAAAAATTTTTTTTAATAAGAAATTGTTATTCCAGCCTGCTGCAGTTTCCTGCTGTATCAGAATTGTCCAATACACAATATCTAGAGTTCTGGACACCCAGTAGATACCTAGTTCTCTAGATTATAATTAAAGAATGTTCAACGCTATACGGAAGTTTTGTGCACTACGTTACAGCTGACTAAATCCACTTGGGCTTTGACTTGGGCTTTTGTTTATCTCTAATCAGTGGATGGCATTCCATTTCGACATGTTTATATGGATAACGGAGGACAGGAAATTGTAACCATGGCAACAAACACATAGATACATTGATGAGACCATAAGAGCTTCACAATATGCACACCTCAAATTAATGGAGCCCTAACTCCCTCATTTCTCAGTCTGTCGCTCTCTGGCTTAAGAGACTTAATTCAACAACTCCTGAAGAATAGCATGTTGATATGCTTTATTTGCAGGTGTTTGCAGAGCTCTTCTTCAGCAGGTTATCAGTTGGCTAGCTTGCAATTGGTAAAGAAAACTAAGGACGTAACCCAGTTCTTCTGCCTTCCTTACGGATTGTATTGGTTAAGCTCTTACTGATGTTTAATTTATTTAAATTCTGTGCTGTGTTGTATTCTGAGTGGTTGTGAGTTTAACCATTTACTTATAAGGTCAGCATCTCCATATGTGTACATTTGGAGACACCCAGGTGATTTCCAGTAATCCACTTTTCCAGACACGGCTTGTGAATTTCAATATTAGTTTTTCACAATAGAATTTAATTTGATTAGTTGGGCTAAGTATATTTTTTTAATTGCATACAGTTTTTACTTTGCTTTATACCTTTTTTATTTGTGCATGTGTATTGTGTGTTTATATACATATATATATATATATATATACACACAAACACACATACAGGAATGTAAAAATTCTATCCTAGCCCAATATAACTATGTAACTAGTATGAGGAGTAATGTTTTGTCTTCCTGAATAAAAACTTATTTTTTTTTATTTATATTTACCCTTTCCCTAATAAAGTATTTCATAATTTAGTTTTACATTTTTTTGTATTTTCTGTAAGTATATGAAATGAAATCAGAATTACAAAATTGTCTAGTTTGAAGAATGTTAAACTCTTTTTTTTTCGCTATTAATTGTGCGTACACATGCAGTCTTGGAACAACGCAGAGTATGGCGGAAGACTTTTACAAGAGAGTACTATGGTATCGCAAGAGAATGATACAAAACTGCTGGTTGTTACATGCCATTTCTCTGTGCTTCTAGTTTATGTGCAGTTTCATATATTCATTTATTTTAGTGTTTTTATTCCTAATTTATAAATAAATCTGCTGTAATCTGCTAATATACATGTTTCAGGCAATTAAAGGGCTAGTGGAGCCAAAAGTGTTTTCATAAAACAAAGGTTTTGGTTAGTGTCATTCTTTCTAAGAGTTGTTCGCCAAGACAAAATATATATATATATATATATATATAATATTTTTTTAATTAAAATGTACCTCCATTCTAGCGCCAAGTCAAAGTTTTATTTGCCGAAAAATCACACCACTTCGCCGGAAGGAAGAATGGACTGAGTAGACAATCAGCATGGAGAGATGGAGGCATGCCACTGTTCATCTGGTGCCAGCAATTGTGCATAGAATGGATACTAGCTAGCCTGGACCTTTGTTCTGGGCTGGCTAATGACGCTGCCAGAGGTGGAGTTACACCTCCGGCACCAAAGGAGTTTCTCTGTATGTGCATCGTTTCAAGCAAAAGACACCATGACCACTTCAAAACGGTGAAGTTGTCATGGAGTTCGGAATAACCCTAAGTTTTAAAGCATGTCCCATCCAGATCATGTTTATAACTGGTAAATGAATTATTCTGCTGCACTCTATTACATATTTTGCTGCTAGATTTGTCTGCCTTCTTATTTATAGCTCTCACATTATTCCTTATCAACCCTTTATGTGCAAAAGCTTTCATCCGCTTAAATGGAGACTCCATTTCCTAAAACTACACTTCTGGCTATGGTAAAAACTAGGTTTCTCTCAAAATCTTTAGCTTCCAAACCATCCTCCTTTTCACCAGTTTGGGGTGGGGGAGGGTTGTCCCCATCCCCCTGGAGCTACTCCCTTAACTGTGTTACCATTCTCATTCCAACAAATATAAAAACAAACATTTCCTGTCTAGACAACACATCTTCTATAAACATCTGTATGGATTCTGATAAAACCACTTCAGGCAGAGAATTCCACATCCTGATTGTTCTTTTTTTACTGTAAGAACAATCAGGATGTGGAATTCTCTGCCTGAAGAAGTGGTTTTATCAGAGTCCATACAGATGTTCAAACAGCTACTAGATGCATACTTGCAAAAACAGAATATTCAAGGATATAATCTTTCAATGTAGGGTAATAACTGCTTGATCCAAGGATAAATCTGACTGCCATTCTGGGGTCAAGAAGGAATTTTTTTCCTATCTTGTTGCAAAATTGTGCTTCAAACTGGGGTTTTTTTGCCTTCTTTTGGATTAACAGCAAAAAAACAAATGTGAGGAAGGCTGAACTTGATGGACGCAAGTCTCCTTTCAGCTTTGTAATGTAAAGTAGAAATGGTTGGGAATTAATAGTGAATTTCAAATTCAAGACCATATTCGCCAAACTGGAATAGCTGACTTGAAGAATCCTTACCTACCTTAAAAATTTGTGGAGGGCAAAGGAGACCAATAGCCCCCTGTAGCAAAGCATATGCCCAGCAAGGTGAATTGTACCATCACAGGTTTGCTAAAAATGTTACTTAAATGTACATAGGTAACTTTTTGTTTTGTTCTATGTATTTGGGCTGATGACTTCTACAGCCATTCCTGTTGACCAAGAGTAGTGGGAGTTTGCGCGCAGCGCTTATTTTTGTGTGAGAAACTATTCTTATCCTTATTACAAAGAATTTATAACCAACATATGTATGTTACTTTTGCTTGCAGCTGAAATTGATGGTCACTATTTAAATACTGATTCTTACAATATTATACTGTCATTTTTGTTCCTTGTAGGTTTGCTGTAATTCTCTCTACAAATTAAAGCAGCTCAAACTACCACCAATCTTGGGCAGCCCAGGACATGTAAAATAATGCCACTCCTATGTTATTGTTTTCCAATAATAAATTATTACTCATTATATATTATCTATCTATAATTGCTACTTTCATTTAATGAATTCATTCATGCTCAACAATAACGTGATAATGTGCTTTAACCGGAACCCTAAATTGTAGCACGGTACCAAATTATAGGTTGGCATTAATTGTAATAAATGTGCCAATGTTACAAGTCTTAAACCTGTCAACAGATGCAGATAAAGCCAAAGAAATGTATATCCAAAGAAAAGGCAGCTGCAATGGTGTAGGTTTTCAGTGAAACTGGTTTTAGCTGTTTTAAATAGAACAACGTTTGCAGCTGTAGCTAAAAACATGGTCATAGTGGAAGTTTTGTTTTCCCGTAATGTAAGGAACAAATCTAATTTAAATTAGCAAATGATTGAAATCAAATCTGTTCCACTCATTAAAAAGAGGCTTCACTCATTACACAGTTGTCACGTTTATTTGTGGTTAGAAGGCCTCCTGCTCCTCGTGTGGATTGTGTGTTACCCAGCGGGCTATGGTTACAGTCACGGTTTCACTGGGATGTCCAAGGAAACTGACAATTTGGGGCGACTGCCCAGAGCCATGCACTAGTGGATTAATACATAAACAGTGGGGAGGGAACCCATGTTGTTTTTTGTGGTTTATTTATTTATTTTTTTGGCCTTGCACTATAATGTGTTTGGTAAATTTACCAATTAGCAATCAAAGCCCCGAAAAGGTGTAATTTACTGTTATTGAGGTTATGTTTACTATTTTAACCCCTTCACTCCGAATAACATGCATTTTCAGACAAAGAGAGGTATGTCCCAGTACCACAACAACTTGTATACACTTCATTCACCATTTTAATTGTAATTAAAATAAATTAATACTTTGTTCTGCTCTTTAACTCTACTATTCTCTAAATATTTTTTTACCCTGGCTTTAACCCCTTAAGGACACATGTCGTGGGACATGTCTTGATTCCCTTTTATTCCGGAAGTTTGGTCCTTAAGGGGTTAAAGCAAATGCCAGTAATTTAGTCATTATGTAATGTTGCATAAGCATCCTGATATGCACTATAGTGTATAACCTGTTCTGGTAGTCATTTTTTTTTCTTCTTCAAATAGCTTGGTAGTGAAGTAGTTAACTCTTGGGGTTTCATTCAGTAAATATTACATTTGATATTTAACTTTATACTAGTAATTTAGAATGAATTAGTGATGAACTAATCACAGGTATGTCGGTATTAGTTATTTCCAGTTCAATAAGAGAAAATTTAAGCCAAATAGCCAACTTGGAGAAATTAAGTTGGAGGTTTATTGGCCTAATTTCAGCAATTCTCCCCTATATTCTCCACAATTCTTGGTTTAGTGAATACACTCAAAAAGTAAAGTCCTAAAGTAGGACAGTTGACATTAACATCAGTCTGTACTTGATATAACAATTGCACAGACCCTTTGCATGTATATATTCCAAGCACAAATACCACTTAACACAAGTACAGATTCACACTTACCTGGATCACGCCAGGCGCCCCTCTACATCTGGTTTTCTCAAAGCTGTAAAAGCCAGACAGCATGTTTGTGCAATGCAGTATCTCATTCAACTCATTTATTGACTGAGAGCACTCAATTGGCATTCACAAGGAATTAACATGCTTCTGCAGCTCTGATCAGATCAAATGTGGTACAGGCAACCGGTGGGACTCTGATATGTGTGGTTATGAAGTGTTTCTTAAAATTCTCTGTTGACACTACCCCCAAGTTTACATTGCATTCACGTGTAAATTTTTATTGTAGATAATTGGCTTCATATGGCTATATAACTTGTATAACAAGTTGGTAGTCACTGGTCTTTATAAAGGAATATTATAGGGAAAAGTGCCATAAATGGTGTAACCATCATTCCAATGGTTTCCGTGGTTATTGTTCCACTTTCAGAACACCACCACTGAGCTGCTCTTGTTATAAACTCCTCGTAGTATCATTCTATTATAGGTATGGGAATGCTGACATTCTAAATAACACGTAATAGCAATATTATAACTTTTTTTTTTCTTTTTAAATAACAAAATACAGTGCATCTTTGTTTAATGTCACAAAAAACTTTTACTTGACTTTATTTTTTTTAATATATATATATATATATATATATGTGAAGAACTCAGACCACAATTGTACATAATTGCCGATGACAGCTAAAATTATAATGTATTTTTTCTGTAATCTTCTGTAATTATGGAAGGCCTATTCTTCAACTAAGACCTACATTAACCTTTGCAAGACCTATTTCATTGTTATTAAAAAGAATACAGGACTAATATATAAATAGATTTGTATAGAGGGTACCTAGGTGTTAAGTGGATTCAGTTACCTGTATACAAAATGTATATGGTATATGGTTTCTGCATTGTCACTTCTGTTGAATGTGTCCTCTTTGTGCCATGTTAATTTCCCTAGGAAATACATATTTGCCTCTGAAAACAGATGCTGCACTGAGTCATTAAAAAGTGTACTAAAGCTTTAATCGAGTTTATTCAATTTATGCATATTTCTTGATTTCATCATACAACACAAGGACAAATGCACCACCCATGCCTCTCAAAACATTGGACCAGGCACCCTTGAAGAAGGCTTTAGGTCCCTCATCTTTGGAAATCTTCTTCCAGCAGTCGATTGTTCCCTTGTACATAATATCAGCTGTTGGAATATGGAGAAAGATGGTTAGATAATTACACAGCTTATAAACACTGTTATGTTATTAAGGCTTGTGCAAGACACTTTACCTTAGATGAGAGAGAATAAAAATTCACCACTACATTGTTAAAAACTATTTAAAGAAATAAGGTTCCTTCTTCACATGTACACATAACAATCGGTACCAAAAACTGAGTGAGTGAGGAGAGCAGGAGAACCTCCGTACAGCTTGTTCTCCTGCTGTGCATCACTGCAATTACAGTGAATGTGCACATCTTGCACTTGCTAGAGGAGTATAGGATCAGAGTAACGGATATCTCTCGGCTCTGGCAATGGAGAATCTCTCGAACAGGGAGACACTTCCATGCTGGAAAGGAGGCGATTATTAAATGAACGCTCCAAAAACATAAATCATCCTGAAGTGTTTTATGTGTCGAGAGTGTGACCTCTTTCTTTTTTTTATTTAATTTCAATAGAAATCTATACTTTTATAAATAAACCTTGTTGCACATTCCCCACTATCAACCACACAGCTGGTATTGTTAATTCCTGGTTTCGTTAGCTCACTGGAGCTAACCTCAAAAGGCAGTAATTGCCAAGAGCACCTGCCTTGCTAAGACTTCTCAATGAGCTTTAATACATTGTATTGAGAAGCATATTATTGGAAGCACGGAAACCTGAGGAACAAAAAGGGTGGGCTTGAAATAGCTGCTAATACTAGATATCCAACCACAATTTCATAAAACCCTTAAAGAAATTTTGAAAAACAAATGCATATTTTCCTTGGGGTTATATCTACAGAAGTTATTATTATTATTTGTGTACTTTTAACACAGGGCTCAACAAATTCCAGGTCGCCATGGCGACTAGGAATTTTGTCCTGGTGTTCGGGTGTTTGCCATCCCATATGGCCAGCTGAGGGAGAATGGAGGCGGCGAGGGAGCTATAGTCTTCCAGTTGTGTTGCCGGGAGACAGGATATGACGTCACTCTGGCCCCTAAACAGTACACAAGGGAGCAGAGCAAGAAAAGCTTGAAGATTGTAGCAGCCACCCTGCACCCCATGGAAATGAGAGGCTGTGTGTGTCTCAGTGTGTGCCTGTTTAAGTGGATGGCTATTGCATATGCTCAGCAAAATGCATCACAGCACCAATCAGCAGCTCCTCCATGGAGACACTGAACATAGGTTCTGCACAGTGTGTAGCATTGAACTAAGAAGCACCTCTAGTGGCCATCTCAGTGATTGTCACTAAAGGTGTTACTAGGCAGCATAGAAAAGGCAGTGTTTACATTAAAATGCCTGCAGGGACAGGCGATAAATACAAAAACAACTACATTAAGCTGCAGTGGTTTTGGTGATTATAGTTTTCCGTTACCAATTGTATTTTTGTTGTTGAAAATAAAGCTTTATTAGTTTTAAAAAAACTACTACTAACTTTTCAGCTGGCTTTAGATACCAAGAAAGTTTGTCATGCCCTGTGTTAACATAACAGCTTTTAAAGGAAATGTAGATTTATTTGATATATTCCATACTTTATGAGCTGTTCTCTATTGAAATGAATCTGTCATGACAGATTCATTTTAAGAAATAATCTGTATTGCGTAAATATGTGCATCTAAGGAGATATCCATTTTTCTGAAGTGACTTGAAGTGTATTATATCGGTTGAGATTATAATAGAAGTTATATGCACCACTCACTTTTTACTCAAATATGTAACAGGTTCCCCTTGACAACACATATAGAGAGTGCTCCTGCAGTGCAGACGCACACCATAAGTGCAAACCTCTGGCTCCATTGCGGTGATGGCTATGCCTATATCTACACTGATGTATTGGTCAGTAATCTAACAAAGGCCAACTGCAGCTTCTGCAAGACAACCAGGAAATGTACTGCTGCATCCACTGGAGCCACACCAGCATCCTGCAACTATCATAGTTATGTCACTACACCCTATATTAGAGGCCCAATTTACAAAATGACTATAATCTGGGACTATTTGGCTCAGAAATTGAACTTGGGACAAACCATATTTTGAGGGGTCTGACCGTGACTAACAAACCTGTAAATGTTATTCCAGAGTGTAGTCTAATGTAAAACTTAGTCAATACCAAACCCGGTAAATACTTAATGCGTTAATTACTGGGCTTACAGAAATCCACACCGTCCATCACTAAGCTTAATTGATTAACTACAAAAGGACCATAGTCACAGCATAACATACCTCCTCTCCTGCCAGACTGCATCATCATACGACGTCTTACAGTGTCAAATGGATAGGAGACTAGACCGGCTACGGCAGTGACAGACTGAGCGATCATCCAGCTCACCACAATGTGCACATTCTTGGGATCTGGCAACATACCTGTAGGTGAAGAAAAATGTGTATTATAATGGACCAGGTAACATTGGAGTACCATGGGCAAGCCCATAACAAGCTAGAAGAAGAGATCTGTACTGCTACAGTTATTACTAAATTACATCACCCTGAATCAGTATCAATTAGAATGTCACTGTTGATAATATCTTCTACATTCCAGTTGTGCTGAGGCATTTTCACTGTTACTATGTGATTATAATAATAACAATTTTAGTATTAATATATCACGATAGCATATTTTATGAATTGGGTTACAGTTATCAATTAATAATGAGGTGAAGGCTCTTCTTTCTGTAATTAGTTTACAAGGGCTTCTTCCTCATTAAGGTTAGCACAATAGTGAATCCAAAGAAGAAGAAATAATGGATGAAGTTTATTCAGCCAATGGATTCAATTATTCTATGTTTGCACACACAGGTCTTCATTACATATGGACTCAAACTTTTGGATTTTAAGCTTTATATTAACCTCAGGAGGAATGTGCAAAACAATACTACTCTACCCTTCCACCATCTTGATTGTCTCTTACAGATATCTGGGTCGTTTTTGACTTTTGGTTCATCTTGCAATCAGGGTTACTATATACTAGTATAATTACTGATAAAAGCAATGCAGTAACAACCTTATGTGTGAATGGCATTCTGGGTATAGGTGACACAACTGACATTCTTATAAAAACAATACACATTTCTAGAAAACAACAATTTAGCCATTGTGATGGAAGCTCCCATGCAAGGGACTTATGGAGAGGCTTGAATGCCAGCCTCCTGTCCACATACCATGTGCCTGGTCAAAAGGCACTAGAAAGGGGTTATTGTCACTGTGGGTAAGGATATGGGGGCCCTGGATGCTTACTGTGCTTCCCAGCTGGACTTGAGGACCTCTGGGCCTGGACCCATTTTTTGCCTCACCGGGCGATACCCTGAAATATTTTGGAACTCTTCCTAGGATCGGGACTGTGCCGAGGTCCGGTCAATCTTAAAGCGGGTATCGCTCAGTTCCCCGACCTCCAAATAGAACATTATTTGGATGAGGCAAGGCAGCATCAGAGGATACCTTCAGCTTGAGTGCACTCTCCCCCACAAGGGTATTGGAACCCTTTTTGAAAACCGGTACCACGCTGCCTCATGCCTGGATCTCCTCATTGAATTGTAGATTAGTTGAAACCCAGTAAAACTTACACGTAACTAACACACTGTAACTCGGGCGTGGTTTCTCAGTGGTGAGCTTTCCAGGGATATATACTGTATTTATTTGTGGTGGTATGGTAAAGGAAAAGTGGGTTCTGTCATTTCCTCTAGAACTATGAGGGCACAGCAGGAAGTCTCTTGTGTTTTCTGGATATAATGTAATTAAGTCTCCAGACAGAGTGGCGCTGAGAAGGGACACCTGTACTCTACATTGAATTGTATGAAGGTCCACCTGAAGAGAGAGTATATACCACCATGTGTAAATTGATGTGTGCTGTGCAATAAAGGTCATTCTATCCCCTGTTTTCAGACTTGTCTAAAGTGTTGCGGGGAAAGCTATAGTCTCTGCTTTATACGAGAGAAGGTCTCCTGATCTATCATCACTGCAGCCTGGTAAGTTGGAAAAGTTCCTCATAGACCCCAGTCAAGCTTTGGCAACTTAGTCTGAAGTGCTCCAGAGTCACTTGTAGCAGCTAGGAAGCCGACATGACGGAGGTAGTTAGTTGGAGTATCGGAGCTATGTCACCGCCATGTTTTATCAAACACCTAAACAATAACTAGAAACAATTCTAAAGAATGGCTGGGCTTCCTTAGAAATATAGTCTACAACTACAAGCAGTGCCAATATTTCTTTGTATGCATTTTATTTCTTTGTACATTTGTAACCTTCTCTACACAGTGATACTTACCCTTAGCAGTATCATAGACACCAAAATAGGCTGCTCTATAAATGATAATGCCCTGGACAGACACGTTGAACCCCTGGTATAGACCTTTAGCACCATCCGACTTCCAGATCTTGGTTAAGCAGTTTCCAAGGCCAGAAAATTCTCTTTCGGCTGTACCTTTACCCACGTCAGCTGCAAGACGGGTTCTAGCAAAGTCCAGAGGGTACACAAAGCAGAGTGAAGTAGCACCAGCAGCTCCACCAGATGCCAGGTTACCAAGGAAAAACCTCCAGAACTGCTTATGCCTATCTACCCCACCCAGAAAGATCTGCTTGTACTTGTCCTTGAATGCAAAGTTGAGCGCTTGTGTTGGGAAGTAACGGATGACGTTGGCTAGATTGCCTCTCCAGAAGGAAATAAAGCCTTGCTCCTTGGGAATTCTGACCACACAGTCCATGATTCCCTTGTATTGCATCTCTGCGGTTATCTGTTTGCTGGCATGTTGGACCTGACATTAGGGAAAATAAACTGGTTAATTAAAAGGCCTGACTGTCTACAACAAGTTTACATATTATAGTTACAATGAAATCCACACCATGACCAATAAATTGTAACAGAACAGCACAGTTGTACACGCATTTTATATGATGTTACTGTATCCAGATTTTAGAAAGATAAACTGATCAACTTAGAAAAACATACCCCATTCCTTAAACATAATTGGCATTGTTTAATGACTTTAATTTATATGCAGAGATGTGAAGAGATTCTGGAGCAATACTCCCATGTAAGTTAGAGTGGGCTAAAGTTAGGCAGACTTAGAAAATAAATGAAGCTGCTTAGTCAATTGTAAAACTAATAAGCAGTGAAAATGTTTCTGCAAGATCTATTCTAAATGATCGGAACTAAACCCACCCAATCACCGCGCAGGAGGATGGCACATAATGTCTGTTAATTCCTCATTTGTCTTTCTACGGTCTATAAAATTGTAATGATGATAACACTGTCTACTGTTTATTGTTTATGGTAACTCATAGTAGCTTCAATGTAATTCGAAACCAGAAATGTTTACATTTTCAAGTCACAACTACAAACTTTTGCCTTCATCAGCAATTACAATTTTTTATGCCATGGGCTGCTGAGTATTTACATCCATGAAAAACATTAAGTAAGTTATGAGCAAAATCTGATTGTGCTTTGGGTTACGATACAATTTCCTGTTTTTCATTACACGTTTCTGTGTGCAGATACTAACCTGTAGGCAGCCATCTTAGTATGCACCAGACTTTTTACTTTCCGTGTGCACGAGGGTGCAAGCTGGTATGAAATCCTGGGCCACTGAAAAGTATCTTCAAATGGAGATAGCCAAGAGTATACCACCATTTACAGCTCTTGGTAGTTACATCCTCTATTCATTTTCAATGTCTTGCTAAAATAGCCTGATTTAAACAGGCCACCGCCTGCCATCTCGGTGTCCAAGTGTCCTCAATTACACAAGCAATAAACCAGCCTATGCACATTATGATGTTCTTGCATGGTATGAGAAGAAAGCTTACGTTAACTAGTCTGTAAGCTCGTTTGAGCAGGGTCCTCTTCAACCTATTGTTCCTGTAAGTTTTCTTGTAATTGTCCTATTTATTGTTACATCCCCCCTCTCAAAATATTGTAAAGCGCTACGGAATCTGTTGGCGCTATATAAATGATAATAATAATAATAATAATAATAATAACTAAATACTTAATATTCCATAGCCAGGTAGAAGCATGACTGCACACAGTATGGGGAAGGCTTTCACTGCAAGGCTGAACTTTAGTCTTTTTATTTTTTAACTTAGATTGCTATGTATTTATATAACTATAATCGACAGGAGGAGGGGAAAGACACCTCCATACTTATTTTAAATTCATGCTATAAGCTCACCTAGTTATGATCATTGATGTTTTACTTTAATATTGTATATGTCATATGCTGTGAATTGTCTCCAGAGATAAGTCTCAATAAACTGTCCAAGTGAAAGTTTTTCCCAATCTGCAAAGAATGCATATCCTTAAGAATGATTAGGAGATATCACTTTCCGTCTGCTACAATTTTGTTCCTCATGCTCATATTATGGACCTCGGGCCTGAAGACAACAAGTACATTTCAGAGCCAAAAATTAATGTTGGCACCTTCTGAATGTCTGTCATCTGAAAGTAACACAGTGAACAAAGTTTTTTAAAGGGGCACTGGAGATTCCAAACTGGATGACACTGATTGAGAATGCTAGGATAACCCACCCAGCACTCTCGGCCAATCATTGTCTTCTAGGTTGTACAAAAAAAAGTAATAATTCTGCATGATCAATGTGGTAGAGAGAGGGGCCTTAGACACCAGGTCGGCCGTTAGTTTATAGCAAACTATTCTTAAACTGTTTCATATTGAAGGGACCCCATAGGCACCCAGAACACTTCATCACATTTAAATGTTCTGGGTGCAGTGTTCCTGTTCCCTTAGCTCTGCAATTTAGAGAAACTGCAATGTTTATTTTGCAGGTTTAAGACTGCCTCTAGTGGCTGTGTACCAGAGTTTGTCTCCGTGAAAGTCCTCACACTTAGCAAGAAGACAAGGTGCTCTAGGTAACACTACCGCTAGAGGGAACTGTAGGATTCTGTGGATTTGCAGCATCCTCTAGTGAGCGCTTTTCAGACTGCAAAGTATTTCACACTTGTCAGCCAATCCTAGTAATTTGATAATTTTCAATGGGAGGAAGATCAGCATTAGATTATGAGACATATAGTTATACTTCAGCACTCAGTAGCAGTTCCATTCATCAGAAAACATGAATGAAACGTCTGCCCAGGCTAATGCCAATATTTCCATGAACGCCTTCATGAATGGGCTACTGTCATGGGATTTCAGTAGCAACTGGTTAAAGGACCACTATAGTGCCAGGAAAACATACTCGTTTTCCTGGCACTATAGTGCCTTGAGGGTGCCCTCACCCTCAGGGCCCCCCTACCGCCGGGCGTCAGGAGCCGCGCACGCATTCAGCCAGTCCATAGGAAAGCATTCTCAATGCTTTCCTATGGACGCTGGCGTCTTCTCACTGTGAAAATCACAGTGAGAGGCGCGGAAGCGCCTCTAGCAGCTGTCAATGAGACAGCCACTAGAGGCTGGATTAACCCTATTATAAACATAGCAGTTTCTCTGAAACTGCTATGTTTATAGAAGAAAGGGTTAATACTAGCTGGACCTGGCACCCAGACCACTTCATTAAGCTGAAGTGGTCTGGGTGCCTATAGTGGTCCTTTAATACATTGGATTTTTGCCTATTCTCTTACAAACAGTGAACAGGTACTAGCATAGAAGTGAACATGCAACCCTGGATCGAGAAAGCGCTAAAGAATACTTATAGTGTGTGTCCACCCAGATAATGCACGCCGTAAATATCTCTGTCTGACTGGCAAAGCATCATGGGAGGTGTAGTTCACATCATCTGTAGTGCCGAAGGCCTATATTGTCTGCAGGAATATTTGCAAATCCCTATAGTTACAATACATACTGAGGTTCATTTCTAAAAATGGAGCAATTAGCAGGATTATTCCAATGCTTTCCATGGTAACTTCCCCACATTTAGAACTTTGCCATTAACTCTTCATACATAATCTCTTATGTGCATCAAGACCTGGACAATAGACTTGTAACATAATAACCCGTCCAAAAAGCATGGAGTCGAGATTTATATAGAGCTTGGTTTATCCCTATTATCTGCAGTAATTTCATCTACACATTATCAAATGTATAGATTTTCACGTGCACTTAAAAACCATTTAGCTGAAGCCAGGTTCCAGAACTGAGAGGAACAGGAGGATGCTGGGAGGTTCTAGTCATGTCTGCACCTCATCCAGCATTCTCTCTGATGTATACTGAAATCAAAGAGTTTTGTAGCCATTCGAAAGTATGAGTACTGGGGAGACTTTCTGTAATTGAATGTAAGGTATTTTATTTTATTTCTGCTTATATATTTTTGTTTGATACACATTTAGCTAGCTCAAGGTAAAGATTAAATTATTTGTTGATTAATATTTGATTTTCAGGGTTACTCTCTAAAGTGATAATTTCAGGAAGTAGAAAGTAAATTCAAATAAATTTCAAATTTAAGGTCAATATAGCTGTTCTGAAAAAAAAATCTTCACGTCAGCTATACTTCCAATTCAGCTACTTTGATCTTAAATTTGAAATTCATTTTTGATTTACTTTGAATTCTTGACAAAAGTCACTTTAGTATACAACCCTGCAAATAATGTTATGAATGACAGTCCTTTAATATCCAATGTAATATTTTTTCAGAATTTAAATGTTACACTGCTATACTAAGGTGCCAGTAGAATATTTATTTTCATCAAACTATTTTTTTAAATGCTTTTTTTGCAGGTATTGTAGTGTTACTGTGTGCTAGAAGGCCTTGTCTGTGTCAATCACTTGGCATGTGCTCTGTGCCATTCCTGTCAGACCTTGTGATGGCTCTGTTCTAAAAACAGTTAATGGAAGGAACTCCAGGTCCTTCCCATGGGAGAGCAGAAAGCACCTTCCATATTTAGTCACTCAAAGCTGCAATACAGAGAGGCTCAGATTACTACCCTTCCTATTTTGGCTCAAGGGGCAGAGTATGTAACCCTGCAGTAGCTGTTAGAAGGTGAAAAGAGGGGTTGTGTATGAACAAGTGTGTGTGGAAGGGAGGGGGCTATGTAGTGGGGCATATGGATCATGTGGCAGGGACAGACATCTACTATCACTCCAGCTACTGGGGGTAATAAGATTTATAGTCTACAGACAATCCCTTAAAGAGACTCTGACAGTTCTGAGATTAGATACAAGTGCTTCCTGAATTTATTTCCAGTAGAATCCATTACATTTCCCTATAGTCCAGTGGGATAAATTACACCAATTAGCTTTAGGAACATCATTTTTGTAGACATAACTAATAATAATCAGGCTCATTTCAAATTAAGTCAAACACGTGATGGGTTTGGCAACACTGTCTGTCTGATAACCAAAAATTTCAAACACAATTATAGCAGCATACAGTGGGTAATACTCAGCCATAAACACATATTTTCATTTATATATATATATATATATATATATATATATATATATATATATATATATATATATATATATATATATATATATATATATATATATATATAAAAACATTATTTTATAAGGAAATAAAATCATGCCGATCTTACCTGCAGGAGCAATTTAACTCTTTCAATGGGAGCCACAGCAGTTTTGGAAATAGCTGCAGCAATGCCCCCAGCTAGAAAGTCCTTGAGGAAGCTCATAGCCTGGTCACCCATCTTGGAAGTGGAGAAGCAACTATCCCCTAGAGAGGTCTCTCAGAGTTGTTCCCAAGGCAGACAGCTCCCTGTCCGCACTGTCAGCCAAAATAGGACGAGTGACACCAAGGCTGCTCTTTATAAAGACACTGGATCTCCGGGGGAGGCGGGGAGCGAGGGGGTAGCCTCAGATTGGCTGGAGTACCCTGATCAGAGGGCATAGGGGGCACGGCAGCCATATTGCTTCATGGATTCCCCCATCTGGCTGATGTGGATAGGGACGTTTAAAGGACATTATAAAGTTATCTGGTCCAGGATGAAGAACACTCAGTTATGGCATGTGCTAATATATTAATAACAAGTCAAGGACTAGAAGAGAGACAGGAGGTACAGCTAAGTGATACAGAGTAACAAACTAAATAGAACTCTGGGCAATGACAGCTATTAACTCTAAATATCAGGGAGTAAAGAGGGTATGCAAGATGGGCAGCCTGTAAAAAGGCACATATAGTGGCAGACAGACAAATGCCCACAGGGATAATACTCAAGTATAGTGTTCTTTCTATTATTCTACCTCCAATATATATTCACTGCTCAATTATATCATACAATTCCAAGACTGGAGCAATAAGCAGGAACATTCTGTTGGAGTTCTTGGATGTTTTAGAATGCTTAATATGCATTCAAGGAAAAGTAGAGCAATTCTGAGGCAGTGTACTAAATGTGAAGCAATTACCATGACAACCAATGTGCATTCATCAAAGTAGCGAAGTCAAAATGTTGATTTTTGTATGTGCAATGCTGTAATGTCGCAGCATTCATAGTGCATAACAGAATGCTATTTTAATGTTGCCTTGGGGGTGCTTAGGATTAGTAGTAACTTAAAGGTTTACAACAAGCATCAGTCATTTAAAGTGGTCATGATGCACGGAATCGGTATGTCCAGTGTTTTGCTTTTAAACATTGTACTTACAGAGATTAGCCCCTATGCTCCTGGAGGTGTAACTCCACCTTCTAGCAGCGTCACTGGGAGGTCATCAGCCTAATGTCAACTCTGTGCAACTTTTGTTGCACAGAATGTCAGTCTTTGGTTAAGTGCGGTCAGGTGACGCTCTAAGCCAACTAATTGTGACTGCTGTGGTTTCTTTTTTTTTTTTTTGGTAAATCTGTGTTTATTAGATAGAGTAATGGTAGTACAGCTTATTCGATTCAGTGTTCAGCAGATTGAGGTCACGTACGACCTGTGTGTATCTGCTACAACATGTGCAAATATGTAACAAGCATAACATTCGTTCCTAAGAACAACTCCGTCGCCGCCTTACATTACGGCAATCTAGACAACCACCGCTCAGTTTATATTGGTTGACTTGTACATAGTTCTTATCGTTACCCCTCAGGGTGGATTTATACTACGTGATCGGTCAGCCACGAGCTCTCCCTAGTGTTTTTGTGGGTGTTGGTGGTGGGTATGGGAACCTATGAAGGCTGACGTCGTATGCGGTGTGTTTTTGGTAGCTATGCGTCGTGTCAGTTAACAACGGACTCGCTAATCTTATGTTTTGGTAGAGTGCCTGTGGTAGGGAATCGTAGTTTCCCTGTCCGTGTTACCTTGTCTGTCCTTGTTCCACATATCTGTTTATGGGTCTGCCTTTTCTAACTGTATATCCATGGTTTGTAGTTGTAACGGTAGTGTGTCTTGTTTGTTTTTTTCTTGGGGTATGTGACTGTGGCGTGTCTACATTAAGTTGGTTGTGCGCAAGTGTATATGTGAAGGAAAGTAGATGGGTTGTAGTCACGAGAGTCGTGATAGAGAAGAAGGGAGAAGGGAAAAGAGTAAGGGTGGAATATTTAGCTATGAGAGGAGATATGGGCCTCGCCCCGAGGGTCCGGGCCCCCCCCCGAGCCTCTCTCGCTTCATCCTATCGAATCCTGGACACAAATGTGAACCATGGGCGCCACAGTTCTGCATGTCTATCTCCCCTACCCAGTAGAGATGCTTGCATCGCCTCCGCCCCCTGAATGCCCTCCACTTTATGGATCCACTCCTCCACGTTGGGGTCTCTGTCTTTTTCCAATATATAGGGATCAGAGCTCTGGCAGCGTTGCGTAAATGGCGTAATATCGACTTTTTATACCTTGCTATTGGCATTTGTGAGATATGCAGTAGTGCCAGGGCCGCTGTCCATGTGGTTATTTCTCCCAGGACTTCGGTTATGTTTTGTCATATCACTTCCCAGAAGGGAGCAAGAGTGTTGCACTCCCACCAGATGTGTATCATCGTGCCCTTTTCCTCTTGGCACCTCCAACAAGTTGGAGGGGTTGACGGGAAGATCCTATGGAGGAGTGCTGGCGTTCGATACCATAGCGCAATTATTTTGTAATTTGTTTCCTGATAGAGTGAGCTAATGGAGCTCTTGTGTTGCCAGATTAAGGTGGTCTCCCACTGCGTGGGTGTGAAGGTAGTGTTGAGCATGGTCTCCCAATGGCTGCGGAAAGTGTCGTTTTCCGTAAGGTGTCCAACTAAGAGGTGTTGATAAAATATGGATATTGCCTTCCCCATAGGTGTGCCTCTCTCGCACAGTGCCTCGAACCACGTTAGGACTCTATGTAGGCGCTCTTTATCACGCATGCGATTGTAGAAGTGTGTCACTTGCATATACCGGAATGTTATGAGATGGGTCCGGGGTGCATCCCCCAGTAGGGAGTCCAGGGTCCTTATATTGCCATCCTGTAGTATCTTCATGATTGGGATGTATTCGCAGCCTCCTCCGAAAGGTAGGGATGTCGATGTGAGCCCTCCCCCTATTGCGTCATTATATGTGATGGACATCATGGGGCTCGGTGTGGGCGAGACGTGTACCTGTTCCCTCATACGTCTCCAGCTGGTGAGCGTTTGTGCTACAATTCCTTCCTTTTCCCGGTCTAGGTTTACGTTCGCCCGTTTCCCCCCCACTGCGGCCTGTAGGTGTGCCCCCTGTCCCTCTTGTGCCAGAGATACCCATTGTTTGCGCTGCTGCGGATCTGCGTGCAGGTCTAGGATGCATTGAAGGACAGTAGCTTGGTGGTATCTTTTAAAGTCGGGTAGTGCCAGGCCCCCTCTATGTCGTGGCAAGCATAGGATTTCGTGACGGAGTCTTGAGCGTTCGCCTCTCCAGACGTAGTGGATGACTGCTGATTTCAGCTTGGCAAAGAAGGACGAGGGTATTGCTAACGGAGTCGTCTGGAACGGGTATAGGAGTCTTGGTAGGATGTTCATTTTCAGGACTGCAATGCGTCCATGCCAGGAGACATGTGGGTATGCCCATTTATTTAGGTCCGTCAGTATAGTATTCAATAGCGGCGTAAAATTTTGTGAGTACAGGTCATTCGGGTCTTTCGTTATCCATATCCCGAGGTATTTCATTTTACATGAACACCACCGGAAGGGGAATAATGCTGCTGGTGCTGTGTATTCTTCCTCCAGTAGGGTGACGTTTAGTACATCACATTTGGATAGGTTAAGCTTGAAACCCGCCATTTTGCCAAAGTGTTCTGTTACTGCCAAGATGTTGGGCATCGTAATTCTGGGGTTGGCAACAAAGAACATAAGGTCGTCCGCATATGCGGCCACCTTATGCTCCGTTCCCCGCCAGGAGAGACCCTGAATATCCGGGTGTTGTCTGATCATCTGTAATAGAGGTTCCAGAGACAGGGCAAATAGTAATGGTGAAAGTGGGCAGCCCTGTCTCGTACCATTAGTGATCTCAAACTGTGCTGTGAGTGCTCCATTTACTCTCACCGCGGCCTTTGGTTCATTGTATAGTGCGCGTATCCATGTGAGGAGTCTGGGTCCCATCCCCATTTGGACTAAGGTAGCGAGCATGTAGGGCCATTTCACCCGGTAAAAGGCCTTTTCGGCATCTGTAGAGAGTAATAGAAGTTGTTTTTGCGTCGTTCTCGCTCTGTGTTGTATTGCGAACAACCTCAAGGTACTGTCTCGTGTTTCCCGACCGGGGATAAACCCTGTTTGGTCCTCATGAACCAGTGATGGGAGGGCCCTTTGGAGTCTAGTCGCTAGAACTTTTGTGAACAACTTAGTGTCCACGTTTAGCAAGGATATCGGGCGGTAGCTGCCGCAAGCCGTCGGGTCTTTCCCAGGCTTTGTTAGTACAGTTATTATAGCTGCCAGGGATTCTTTTCCGAATTTTTCCCCCTCGGCCACTGCATTGATGGCTTTAGTCAGCCATGGCAGCAGGATCGATGAGACGGTCTTATAATATCCGGAGGGAAGGCCATCTGGGCCTGGGGCCTTTCCCGTTTTGGTAGATTTCAGGGCTGCCTGGAAGTCTTCTGCTGTAATCACGGTGACCAGTTCTTCTGCGGCATCTGGGTGTATTGTTTTCGTCACGGTCTCTTTTAGGTATTCCTGTGTACTGCTATGGTTGGCTCCCCCGTCCTCCCCTCTGTCACGGTCCTGTAGGTTGTACAGTGATTGGTAGTAGCGCCTGAATTCTTCGGCTATTTGGTCCGGGAATGCCGTTTAGGCGCCTGAAGGGAGGCGCAGGGTGCAGACCTGCGTGCGAGGGGCATTGCCTTTTAGAAGCCGTGCTAGGTATTTGCCTCCCTTGTTGGCGTGGGTGTAAAAGAAGCCCTTAGATTGTTGTAGCAAACGCAGGTGGCGTTTTGTAAGGAGATATCTCAGTTGGCGCCTGGCTTGCATTAGTTTCCCATAAGTTTCCATTAGCTGGGTCCTCTTGTGTTGCTGTTCTAGTGTCGTGATCGATTTGTAGAGTTCTGCCATTTCTCGAGTGGCTGCCTTTTTCTTTTTAGATGCTATCCGAATGAGGGCACCCCTAATTACGCATTTGTGGGCTTCCCATATAGAGATCGGTGAAGTTCCTGGCGTGTCGTTTTCCTGAAAATAGTGAGTTAGTTCTTCCGCTATTTGCCCACGAGCCTCATGGTCAAGAAGGAGGGCCTTGTTGAGTCTCCAAGTCCATGTGCAGGGTCGGAAGAGTGGTGATTCGAGTTCAATGGTCACGGGGCCATGATCTGACCACGTCGCTGGGTCAAGTTTGGCGGAGATGAGGCGTGTTAGTCCTACTTGTCTTATGAAGATGTAATCGATACGCGAGTATCTATTATGCAGCGGGGAGTAGTAGGTATAGTCCCTAGTGGTAGGATGGAGGGT